CACTGTCACCGATGCGGCCACGTCCACTCGAGGGCGACCAGGAAAACTAGTCGTCGCAGTCCACGAGGCAAGGGCTGCGACGCTGTCGAACTGCGGAAGCCCTCAGGAAAGCCCGTCGAACGTGATAGACGTGCTTGTGGATGGCGTTCGTGCATCTGCCCTTGTAGATACTGGAGCCGCCGTATCCGTGATGGACGAAAAACTTTGCCGATTACTGCGCAAAGTGACCACGCCGCTTTGCGGGCTCTCCCTCCGTACAGCCAGCGCCCAAAGATTCACCCTACAGCGATGTGCACAGCCCGCCTTATGATTCAGGACGTGATGTATGCGGTCGAATTCATCATAATTTCTTCATGCTCTCACGACGTCATCCTAGGATGGGATTTTCTCTCCCGCCACGACGCCGTCATTCATTGCGCACCAGCAGAAATAGAACTCGCGCCATTCTCTTCTTTGACGCCGGCCGACAGTCCATCCGCTGCAAGCAAGTTACTCGTCAGAGACGACACTCAAGTGCCTGCAAACTCGTCCGTTGCGGTGTCGCTCTACTGCGCAAGCCTTTCTGACACCGCTGCACTCCTCTCGCCATCTCATCGTGTTTTCATAAGAAAAAGCTTGCTGGTTCCTTTCGCGACCGTCCAACTCACTCACGGCAGCACCACTATTTTTGTTGTGAACCATCTCCGTACAGCGTTACGTTGGTGCGAGGAGAATGTCTCGGCAGCGTGGAACCCATCGAAGACGCGCAAGTTATGGATCAACCCGATGACATGCACTACCCAAGTTCCTGTACGCTTGGTGCTGTTTCGACATCTGCTTCATCATCCGATGATATATTCGGTCCCTGCATACCCGACGACCTTACGCAGGGCCAGCGTTCCCAGCTTTTGGGCCTGTTGGAAGAATTCCGCTCTTCTTTCGATGTCGCTCAACCTTCTCTCGGCCGCACATCCACCGTTACGCATCGCATCGACACAGGCGCACAGCCACCGCTGCGGCAACGTCCATATCGCGTATCTCCCACAGAACGCCGTGTAATCAACGAGCAAGTCGACGACATGCTTCGCCGCGATGTTATTCGCCCCTCTAGCAGCCCCTGGGCATCTCCTGTCGTTCTCGTCACGAAGAAGGACGGTTCTGTGCGGTTCTGTGTGGACTACCGACGCCTCAACAAGATCACTCGTAAGGACGTGTATCCACTACCGCGGGTAGATGACGCGATTGACAGCCTGCAAGGAGCAGAATTCTTTTCATCCCTCGATTTGCGCTCAGGGTACTGGCAAGTACCTATGGCTGAGGACGCTCGACCAAAGACCGCTTTTGTCACCCCCGACGGCTTGTACGAGTTTAACGTTATGCCGTTTGGGCTGTGCAATGCGCCCGCCACCTTTGAGCGCATGATGGATACAGTTCTGCGTGACCTGAAATGGCACACGTGCCTGTGCTACCTCGATGACGTCGTCGTTTTCGCTCCTGACTTCTCGACGCACCTTCAACGCCTTCGGCATGTTTTAACGCGTCTGAGAAACGCCAGTCTGCAACTGAACCTAAAGAAGTGCCAATTTGCAGCTCGGCAGCTGACAATACTCGGCTACGTCGTGTCCAAGGACGGAATTCTCCCTGATCCAACCAAGCTTCGGGCCGTGACCGAGTTCCCCAAGCCGACATCCGTGAAGGAACTGCGCAGTTTCGTAGGACTGTGTTCCTACTTTCGGCGCTTCATTCGAAACTTCGCGACTATCATATCGCCGCTGACGAAGCTTCTCGGAAGTAACGGGCCTCTCCATTCGTGGTCATCACAGTGCGACGACGCTTTCAGAACACTTCGTCGTTTGTTGACGTCGCCTCCCATACTCCGCCACTACGACCCTACGGCCCCTACAGAGGTACACACGGATGCCAGTGGTGTCGGCCTCGGCGCTGTCCTTGCGCAGCGCAAACCAGGGTTCCCGGAATATGTCGTGGCGTACGCGAGCCGTACGCTTACTAAAGCCGAGACTAATTACACAGTCACCGAGAAAGAATGTTTGGCAATCGTCTGGGCCCTTGCAAAGTTCCGACCTTATTTGTATGGTCGCCCATTTGATGTCGTCACCGACCACCACGCACTATGCTGGTTGTCGTCATTGAAAGATCCCTCAGGCCGTCTCGCCCGGTGGGCACTTCGCCTGCAAGACTATGACATCCGCGTGCTGTACCGCAATGGAAGGCAACATGCTGACGCCGACGCCCTGTCGCGCTCTCCCTTGCCTGACGACAATGCCAACAACTCAGTGTCTCACCTTGCCATTTCTTCGATTAGCATTCATGCTATTGCTACTGAACAGCGCAAGGATCAATGGATTGCCTCACTGATAGACTTGCTGACTGATCCATCCACTCCATCCACTCGCGCGTTGCGTCGTCAAGCCCACCATTTCGCCGTTCGCGACGACCTCCTCCATCGACGCAATTACAACGGTGACGGCCGCCAGTGGCTACTAGTCATACCTCGCAGTCTGCGCTCTGACATATGCGAATTATTTCATTCTGATCCGCAGTGTGCGCACTCCGGGGTATCGAAGACTTACCACCGCATTCGCCAACGGTACTTTTGGCGCGGCATGTACCGCTACGTGCAGAAATTCGTTCGCTCCTGCATAGAATGTCAGCGCCGCAAAACTTCAACGCACCTGTCGCCGGTAGGTCTGCAACCTCTACCTTGCCCTGCCAGGCCGTTTGGGCGCGTTGGCATCGATTTGTATGGGCCACTTCCACTAACGTCGGCTGGTAACCGCTGGGCCATTGTTGCTGTGGACCACCTCACGCGATACGCCGAAACGGCCGCTCTTCCCGCGGCTACAGCGAGCGATGTGGCTTCCTTTCTGCTCCAACGATTCATCCTGCGACACGGCCCACCCCAGGAACTGCTCAGTGACCGAGGCCGTGTCTTCCTGTCTGAAGTCGTTCAAGCCATTCTCAAAGAGTGCAACGTTGTTCACCGCAAAACTGCTGCTTACCACCCGCAGACGAATGGCCTCACAGAACGCTTCAACCGTACGCTGGGCGACATGCTCTCCAAATACGTCACCGCCGATCACACAAATTGGGATTCCATTCTACCCTTCGTCACCTACGCATATAATACCGCCCCTCAGAGCACTACTGGCTTTTCACCTTTCTTTTTATTATATGGAAGGCACCCGTCACACACCATCGACACGATACTTCCGTACAGGCCAGATCCGTCTGAGTGGGCACCTATTTCTGCTACAGCCAAGCTTGCTGAAGAATGTCGAGAGCTTGCAAAGACCTTTACTGCGCATGATCAAGAGCGGCAAAAAAGCATTCGCGCTGACGCCAGTACTACTGCACCCACATTCCTCCCTGGAGCGCTCGTCTGGCTCTCGATCCCTACTACTGCAACTGGCCTATCTTCAAAACTATTGCCTAAATACGAAGGCCCCTACCGTGTCGTCAAATGCACTTCCCCAGTCAACTACTTGATTGAACCCATCGAACAATCTTCGGACATGCGTCGTCGAGGACGCGACATTGTTAACGTGGAGCGCCTCAAGGCCTACCATGACCCGCTCATTGTAACCAGCTGTTAGGTCGCCAGGCGGCTCCCTTTTCGTACCCGGGGTAGTTGTGGTAAAGCCTTTGAACAGTGGGTCATCCTCTTCAGCGCCTTCTAGTGGGTCGCCCTTTTTCTTAAGAAGAAGAGCAGCTCGTGCAGAGAGTCGATCCCCGCATTGACTGTCGCTGTCGTGAATCATCGCTGAGTGTCCGTCAATAAACCGCTTAACAAAATAAATAATAAATAAATAAAAAATCACGCGAAGAATGACAAGCACACCCAAACGTGCCCCGCGTTGTAAAGCACAAATTACGCACGAAACGTGCTGACAAATATAGATGAACGCGAATAAGTGTCTCAGTTGTTACGCCCCTGTGATAGAAAAGGGTGCGCTTTTTGCAACCGGAAACTGTGCAGTGAGTGCAGTGACCTTTGTGCGCCCAGTAACTACAACAGAGTCATTCTGGTGAAAGCCCAAGGCGGTCGATTCTCCCCACCGCGAGATAAGCGCGTGCACGCGTGAACGTCTACCTGCCCACCTCCGCAGTGCGAAGTACACGTGCGAAATGAACGAATCAGCTCATGTCGCTGCATCGTGACGATCTGGCAACGTGCGCTCATTGCGCCATTTCATTGGTAATGCTGAAAACACAATATTTGCCCCAGGATGGCCATCACCAGCATTGGTGGTAAATGTAAATAGCTTGCTGTTTCAACGTTGAAGGAGGTGATCCCTCGTGGCTTAGTGGCTAACGCCTCGCACGTACAAGCAGAAGGTCGGACGTTCGATTCCGCATGCTGGAGTCTTTTTCTGGATTAGTTGTCTTTCTGGCGTTTTCATATATATAGATACATATACATATATGGTGAATAATGGCGACGCCGATGGTGGTGGCAAAATTCAGCTGAGAGTGTCCATATAATTGCTATCGCACTAATAAATACATAAAAAGGCACAAATAAAGTGAAGTTCTCTTTAGAAAAGGATAAAAAACAGGCGAAGTGTATTGTTTTTACTAACTAGGTCACTTGAATCACCTCCCCTATCAAAGCTTTCTGCTTGTCGCTTGGTGTCACCGCACTTCTAAGATCAACACCTTTATTATTGTTCAAGTGATGATGTTGTTGAAGATCATCAGACGATGAATAAAGAAAAATGATCAGGGCTGTTGTCTCAACAGCTAGTGCCAAGGGGTGCATGCCCCAATATCGTCATCACGAATGTTTGTGCATTTTATTGTTGCCTATAGAGGTTTTGGTGGGTGTCCGGTAGCTGCATCTTTCTCACGGCGCTACCTATATAAGGGCGGCGTTCCACAACAGATGTCATGATAGGGGAATGTGGATATCTGAAATTTTCACGTCCCTTGTAGTGACTTCTAACATCAAGAGCTCATCAATTACCCATTACCCTGAAACATTACTGCTTGCTTGTGAACAGGTTCGACTGTGGCATGGGTCCTGGAACACTGCGCAGCGATCAGCCGGTGCTGCTCAACGCCTGGAACACGCTCACAGTGTACAGGGACCGATGGGACGCTTGGATGCAGCTGAACAGCGGCCACCAGGTTCAAGGACGTTCCAAAGTGAGTACAACCAGTGATGGTGTAGCCCGCCGTATGCTATCGTGTGGACTTAGCAGTAATGAAATTAGTTTTTCTTGCTTTTTTAGTGATGAATTATCTTGGTGACTTGGTGTGGTAATTTTGTAATGCAACAAATTATTTCAAGTGTGTATATTCAGGAAAATTAATCGTCGGTTTTCAAGATACTGTTGACAGTAATATGGCATGTCCGCCTGTCTTATGGCATGGCAAATGGACCAATTAAGAAAATCAAGGTAACAAATGGCAATGAGTACAAAACCTCATATTTTGGAATGAGATGGGCCCACAAAAAACGTGCGAAACATCTCATCTTAAAGAAATGACAAATGTTATTTCAAGATTACACTCATTGAAGCTACAGACAGGAGGGCTAGACGGTGGCTGTATGCTTGCTGACTTTTGTCACTGCAATATATTTACATGTCGAACGAAATGGTAATTGACTGTCATTGGTCTTAGCCAGACGAACTTTGTAATGCAGTTTATTTAGATCTTTCTAAATGTTAGAAAATAGCGCCTGGTAATGTAATTGTATTGATTTTTTAGGAGTAACCTTACAATCTCTGCTTGCGTTTTACCAATGACCTTGAATTGTATACTGAACGCCTGCTATGTACTTGCCCTCAACTCAATATCCAGTATACCTGTACACACATTTGGGGGATGCAGAATGCTAGAGTGTCTTGTTCTGTGCGATGCCATTGCATTTTAAAGGGGAACTCCAGTGCATTCGTTACTATGAAAAGATAATGCCACTTTCAGATAGTATTCACAGTCCTGTAACAGCTAGAGTAGTTTGTTTTGCCCAGACACTCGTCAATGATTACAGATAAGCTATGAACAACGAGTCAAAGCAGAAACAAAAACAGGGAGCTACTCCGTCATCCGTGGTGGGTATCGGTTGACGTCACGAAATCAGTATCTGATGTGGTCACTAAATCGGCTACACACCGCCACGGCTGGAAGAGGTATAAAAATAGCTCGTGTGCCTCTTGACGCGCAATAAGCAAACTGGGGATGTCAGCCGAAGCGAAATATAGCTGTGCCAGCTCGTCTGAATTTACCAGTGACAACTTCAGTGATAATTGCAGCTACTACCTGAGGGTGGAAGCATTGCTTTTTGATTTCGACCCAGCGTCGCGTGAAGCATTTGACGTGACCCGAATCGATCTCTTAGTTGCTCGGAATTGTGCATGCTAGTGTAAGGCCCAATGTCAACGACCAATAAGACGCTGTATACAGCTGACAAAACTAAACTCTGCTCGCATCGTTGTCGCTTTAAAAAAATCGCGTGCGGCATCCGTCTGCTGGGCAAAGTGGGGTTTTGAAAAAAGAGTAAGCACTTACGTTACGTACAAGGAGTGGCCTGCATTTGCAAGTGGGATTCCCGAGTTGGCTACCGAATTTTAAATTTGATTTTCTAAAATTGTAAATGACTTACGCTTGTATATTTTAGCAGGTATTACCACGGTACTGACGAGAACACATGTTTAAAGTTTATTGAAATAGGTTAATATCGAATAATAGCCGCAGCTACCGCTTCAAGAAGACAAAGTGGTCGATATTTCTCAAGCCTTCTAATTGGTTGTGGAACACAAAGCCTTACATTATCCTTTGCTCTTTTACACCCTTTTTCCCCCTCTCAAATACTGTTAGAAAATCGGTGGCTTCCCCGGGTTAACCTTCCTGACTTTTTTTTTTTTACCGTTCGTTTTCTCTAGTGTCACTTTTTACTGGCACCTGTGAGCCCCATAACATATACGTTGTTTCTCTTGCGTGTCCAGGGCCTGTTCTCGAGGATAACTCTTCGGCTGAACGTCTACCTCGGCGGGTCTCCCAACGCGAGCCTCGCTGCCGGCAGGCTGGGCGTCAGGGAAGGATTAGTGGGCTGCATTCGACATCTGGAGATTAACGGGCGCCGCTACGACTTCCGGTCCACGTCGCTACGAGGCGACGCCATTGAAGGCCTCGACGTTGGTATGTGTTTACCTCATTGCTTTCTTTCTCCTGGTGGTTAACGTTTCCAGTTGATGTGAGCCCGGAGAAGCGGGAAAAAAAAGGTTCACAGCATATCCACGGAGTGAATGGTGATGAGTGGGGCTAAGCGTGCGTCCACATTTCCGTCTGTTCTTGCTTCCGTTCGTCCGCGCGTCCGCCCGTCTGTACGCCTGTTCGTGCATCCGCCCATGCGTCCGTCAGCGTTTCGGCCGTGTGTTCGGCCGCCCGTCCCTGCATTCGTGCGTGCGTCTGTCCATCCATCCATTTGTCCGTGCCTCTGTCGGTGCGTCGGTCCACGCGTCCGTTCATCCATCCGTCTGTGCATCTGTCTGTATGTCCATCCATCCGTCTATCTAGTGAACACTTCAAGTACGGCCATCTCGCATCTTTTCATCATATAGAAGTACCACCATCCAGCGTACACTCCAAGGGCTAAACGAGAGGAGGCTACATACTACTATGACGACTACTAATACTACTACTACTACTACTACAACGACAACAACTACTACCCCAAAAACTCCTCCTCCTCCTCCTACTACTACTACTCCTACTACTACTACTACTACTGCATACATTTTGGATGCACGACCCACGGCTTATGGAGCTTCGCCCCTAAAATGCCCCATGTGCCCGATGGGAATCATGAGAAAATGTGAATAAATCGCGTAGCACCCATAACGCCGTTTTGCACGTGAGAACCCAGCGTTAGAAGAATAGGGTTTTCTTTTTTTTAACGCCATATAGCCAATAGCGCCATTCACCACACAGTGGCGAATGGCGCTATTTTTCTGTCGCGAGAAACGTGGTATGTGTTTCCGGTTAAAAAAATGGCAGCATATCCACGGAGTGAATGATGGAGAGTGGGGCGAAGCATTCGTCCGTCCATGCGTCCGTCTATGTGACCATCCATGTGTCTGTTCGTGTGCCCATCCCTGCGTTCGTTCATGCATCCGCCCCTGCGTCCGTTCATGCGTCCATTCATGCATCTGTCTGTGTGTCCGTTCGTCGATCTATTCAACACTCCAAGTCCCACGATCTCGCATCTTTTTATCATATATTCCCCATATAGAAGCACCGCCATTCAGTGGACATTCCAAGGACTAAACGATAGGTGGCACACGCACACTTTCTTACGGCTTGCGCTTCGGGTCTACTTCGCACCTTCAACCACCTTGAGTTATGGTATATACTAGTTCACTGTATTCATGGCACTGCGGCCGAATGCTCGCTTAACCTTTCTAAAACCAAGAAGGTTACGCCCAGCGAGTATAACGTAGCAACCTTTTCCTGTCAGATAGTGCTCAACGTACATGCCAGTGGCTGCTAATGTGAAATGAGACACAGGAGGATTCAGCTTTTAATTTCTTACGGCTTGCGCCTCGTATCTACTTCCCATTTTTAACTACCTCGAGTTCATTCATGGTATATACAAGTTCATTGTATTCATGGCACTGCGGCTCAACGCTCGCTAAACCTTTCTAAAGCTAAGGAGGTTACACCCAGCGAGTATAACGTGGCAACGCTTTCTTGTCAGATAGTGCTCAATGTACATGCCAATGGCTGCTAATGGGGATCGCAGCGTGCGTGTTGACTAAAAGCTGAATGCTCCTGTCTCTCATTCTCCATTAGCAGCCATTGGCATGTACATTGAGCCCTATTTTTAATTGTTAAACAACGCACAGAAGAAATCTCTCACCGGCACCACCTTGGAGGTCAAATGTGCCACTGGTGGTTACGTACTACGTGGGACGCACAAGCCACCCTATAAGGAACTTCGCCCCTAATACTATATGTGAACAAAACAAACAACGTTCCATGGCGTTAGCACTTCACAGCGGCGTCTCGAGCACACCGATGTTCTTGAGAGGTGCCCAGCCAGCGAACGGTCGAGAATGAGGCGCGAGCGAACGGGAAAGTGGGGCGCAGGAAGGATAGAGAGTGAACGGTGAGAAAAGAAGCAGCGAAGCACTGGCACCTACCCTCTCATACACTCGCTCGCACTGCATGTAGGTGCTTTGTCGTGCTCCCAACCGGTATGCAGAAATTAGGCGCTTTCTTCTAACCACAACCACCACCACCACCACCACATGCTCTGGTTGCGAGGGGCGAGGATAAGCGGGCGCTCTCGTAGCTGTTGCTATGGGAGAGAGAGTGAGAGTGAAGAGATAACACCTGCCGGTGCGCGGACAACATTAATAACACCGATTGCCTGGAATAGCCCGAATAAGAAATGTGTTCTCATATACATTTGCCTAAGACGACATGATAACAAAAACCTGCTTTTAGATGTACTGGTGAAAGAGCAAGGTATTGAGTGGGACCAACTCTTGGAACAAAGCGCGAGTTCTGGACGCTGAGCCCATTTTTCGCTGTACTGCCTGTGTGCCTGCTACCAGACGTCGTGAATAAACTCACTTTCCCACTGGTCCAAGTGGCCATTACCTTGCTCCTTCACCACTACAATGTCTCTGTAATTCTCCGGTGTTTTACCGAGCAAACATAATGTGTCATGAGATCATCATGACGCCAAGACTGTCAATTTTTGCGCCGTCATCGTTCAGTGAAGCTCACGTGTGCTGTTGGTGAGATAGTGCAAGATGTTTTCGAGACCCTACGAGTCCTGAAAGTCTTCAGTATGAATGGGATGGCCACTGAAGGCAATGACTTGGCCCGCTGAAGACAACGTCGCACAACGTCCAACACTGAAGTGAGTGCAACATTGCAAAAGGCACCCATTAACTGAGTTTGCTCGTAAACTACAGGAGAACGGATTTCAGGTGATCTATTTCGGAAATGAGAGCGTTTAGGCCCGTTGCGTAATTGTTATGTATGACATATTGTTGTGTATCATGACCATCAAGTGAATGTATGAAAATCTGTCAATGTGTAAGCTCAGTTTCGTTTCACCCTTGCAATAGAATAAGTTGACTGACTTCACTTAGTCATGTTTGTTGCTCAGTAAAGATAACATAAAATAGTGCTGTTGTCACTGATGCACACTGGCCAAATTGAGTGTAATGCTGGTAGAAATTTATGTCAATTCCAAACAAATTTGAGGGAATTTAACCTGTGAGAAATGATTTATGGCTAGTACAACAAAGACAGTACTTAACCATGGCGAAAATATGCACGCATAATTAACAAAAAATAGTGCTGCTTCTGAACAAGGGCTACAACTTTTTCACTGTATTTTTCTATATTACTCTTTAAAACTTCATTACGCAATCTTTGCTAATTGCCAAGTATGGCTGAGTAAAAAAGTAACAGCATAACGAGGGTAGAAGATGGGCTACGGCAAAGGCTCTACTACAAAGGGCTCAAGAACATGCCGGGGACTGCTCCTTCGTCGAAGCGCCCCGATATCCCGAGGGGAAGGCGTATGCGGCAGTGATCATCAACCACAAGGTTGGTATCACGAACTCGACAACACTCCGGACGACGGTGGCTGAAATAGCAGAGCAAGTGGCGATTGCGTTGGCCTTGCTGGATGACAGGAGGTCTACAATTTACAGCGACTCGAAATCAGCGGTCTGGGCATTTGCCACGGGAACAATATCAGAACTAGCTTTGGGAATTCTTCGGGACACGGGACAAAGACATCGAGCCACACAATCTTGTTTGGTTCCCAGCTCATATGGAACGCATTGAGGGAGCCCCGCCCAATCTCAACGAGTCAGCCCACATAGCTGCGCGAAGACTAGTAAACCGGGCGCGGTGCTGATGTCTTGGAGAACCATGACCCTCCCATCTCGTTTAATGAATTGACAAAACATTTTTTACATGAATCGGATACAATACCCTCCACCGCACAGAAAACTCAGCAGACCTCGGGCTCTGACACTCAGGCTTCTTCAGGTCGGGGTGTACCTTAATCTCGCGCTATTGAACAAAATTTATCCCGAAATACAACCAACTAATTCATCTCCCTACTGCCACGTTATGGCTACCTTGAAACATATGCTCTGGCGGTGCCCCAGCGTTACGCTGTGGGGTAGACATCACGCCGTCCAATTGGGAGGGTGCTATTGCAAGTTCCGGACTTGAACAACAGCTATGGGCAGTCCACCGGACCCGCGACGCAGCAGAGAGACTTGGTCTTTTCTGTTCCGACGAAGGAGCGGCCGGCAAAGTGATAAACCAGGTTCCGATGGACCAAATAAAGTTTATCCATCCATCCATCCATCCATCCATCCATCCATCCATCCATCCATCCATCCATATCCACGAAATGAATGATGATGAGTTCAGCGAAGCGCCTGTCAATCCGTCTGTGCGTCCATCCGTCCGTTCGTTCGGGCATCCGTTGGTGCGTGCGCTCGTTCGTCCGTCCGCCCGTCCGCCCGTCCGTCCATCTGTCCGTCCGTCCGTCCGTCCGTCCGTCCGTCCGTCTGTCTGTCCGTCTGTCCGTCTGTCTGTCTGTCTGTCTGTCTGTCTGTCTGTCTGTCTGTCTGTCTGTCTGTCTGTCTGTCTGTCTGTCTGTGCGTCGGTTCATCTAGTGAACACTTCAAATAACGCCATCTCGCTTCTTCTTATGATATATTCTTCATATAGAAGTACCGCCATTCAGCGGACAATCCAAGGACTAAACTAGAGTAGATACCATATTCCTGCTGTCAGCGCATTGTTAACACCAAGAGCGTGACACCGACGCCGTGCTACGTTTTCCGTAACATGTGGAGATGCGGATATGTGCCCTAGGGCGGGTACGTGCCACTGGTTCGGGTATGTGCCACATGTTACGCACAACCACAACAGGGGATGCACAAACCACTCCATACTGAGCTTCGCCCCTAAAAATACTCTTACGTGCTCTATATGGCTCAGAGCAATACTGCGCTACGTGGAGACGCGTAGCACCTGTGTTTATTTTTTTACTACTTGGTGCTAAGCTGAAACACCCTGTATATGAGAACCCTGTATAGCAAAAAAATCCCAGCATATCTACGGAGTGAATGATGATGAGAGGGGCGAAGCATCCGTGCTTCTGTCCGTTCGTTTATTCTTGCTTCCGTCCATCTGCGTGACCATCCCTGCGTCCATTTGCGAGTCCGTCCATCCGTCTTTCCGTCTGTGCGTACGTTCGTGCATCCATCCGTCCATCCGTCCAGGCGTCCGTCAGTGCGTCTATATAGTGCACACCTCAAGTACCGCCATCTCGCATCTCGCATCCCCTGTGGCACATCGCCGCTCTAGAGCGGCTATGTGCCACTGGTGGTTCCTTACTACTACTTAATACATCGGAGGATGTACAGCCGTCAACACCTTTAAAACGAACGCTCCGCCGCGTGTCGTGCAGCAGTTTTATTGACGCTGACACCACATACGTTTGGGTTCTGTTGCCAAGATGCTAACCATACATGTCGACATACCATGCAAGCCTACTGTCACACCGGTCCCGTTAATTAGGGAGGCAATCGCCGGGCTAATTCCAAGAGCCGATGTATCGGCCCCCCGAACCGCACCACGAAAGCGTGGACAATTTAGAAGTGGTACTTTTTGGCGCGCCAGCGGACGCCGGCTGTGGCCCAAAGAACAAGTCAGAGCCGAGAGTTGATAAACAAACAAATTATATTCTCAATAATGGCAGATCGAAAACAATGCACAAAAATGCACACTCCACAATAGTTGCATACAATATGTCACCAATCAAACCAATCAATCAACGTACTACACAGTACAATCAGCCACACTTAAAACAACGGACACGGACAACAATACGCACTACAATGCAGTCGCATGCATTTAACATCCAAGACACTTAAAGACTAAAGAGATAGAAAACCTATTCAGTCCAAAGTCCTTGGAACAAAAGTCTGAATGATACTCTTCCGAGAATCACTCACTCAAAGTCCAGCGTTGTTGTCGTTCCGCAGCCCTCGAAGTTTCTCTCCAGGAAACCTCGCCGGAGTTTCTCTTCCAGGAAAACTCCCGTCTTCAATTGGCCACTCTTCAAACTTCAACTTCTTCGCCCGAACACGTCGGCTTCACACACGCAGCTGTTGCCCGCGTCTTCGCTCGAAAGCGGTAAACACACGCTCTTGCCGGTAGTACGAGTGGTCACCCCTCAGGTGTAAATCCTCTTCATCTCCGGCCTCGTCCCTACGGACCAAAAACTTCGCCGACTGCACGGCGGAATCCCTACGCGCTCTGGCGTTAACTTCCGTCTCCTCCTGTTCTGTCACTACGGGCAGAACCTTCGCCGACTACACGGCGGAATCCCTACGCGCTCTGGCGTTAACTTCCGTCTCCTCCTGATTTCTCGTCTCGGCCGCTCGATTAAATACTTTCCGCGCCACCTTCCAGAACGTTCTCCTCATTTCGTCGGCGCGATGCGCAGCGAAGGCTGGGGAGAGGCACGAGACGGTTCGACTGCCCTCTCCGGAGGATGATTCACTCGGTCTGACCCCGCCTCCTTCGTTCTAGAAAAGTCGCGGCCTTGCTGGGCCGCCGATGTGGGGTGAGGAGGTTCGTCTGTGAAGCCATGCTTCTGCGGGGAGAGCGCGCGCCCGGGAGCCTTGGATGTTTGCTTTCTTTTTTTTTTCTTTTTACCTCGCGGCGTTTCTACCGCCCGTTGTCGCAAGGATTTGGCGGCGCGCTCTTTTTTAGCGCTCGTTCTGTGACACCTACCGAGGTATTACCTTGGCAAAAACGCCTAGCACTTCGCGGCTGGCATCAATAAAACTAACCCTGGCCACACGTCAAGGTGTTCGTGTTAAAGGTGCTGACGGCCATACAGACCCTAGCCTTAAGGAGCTTCGGCCCTAAAATTCTGCTTACGAGTTGGTAAAATAGCGAAATTCAGTTTGCAATCAAATAGTGGAAATTATGTCAAGCCATCATGAATATGTTATTGAGGGTTTTTGAGAAACATTCCCAAGCAAATGCTCCATTTATCCAGGAAGCGTCCCAAGGAGCTGTTTTAGACTATTTTACACAGGCACAGAATTTTTTTTGCCTTACCTTAAAAACGATTTGACGATACTTCATGCTTAATTATGTTAGTAATAAAATTTGCAGTGTGTGTTATTTTTTTATACTTAGTCGTTTTGACTGTGCAGTACGGAATGGTTGTTCCATTTTATTTGGATAATAATACTTTATTCGTTTTACACTTTCTTAAATTTTTCTGGTACAAATCATTATGTGAGCTGACCTCTAAGGGAAAAGTGTGTACAGTGGTGGTTGCCTGCGATACTTGTGAAAATAGAGGTTTCTGGGCAGCACAAAGTTGTATAATGATTACCCGTTTGTGAGATGGTTGTCCATGAACTGTCTACGCTAGCAGATAAGTAGATTGGGCAAAGTAATTGCAGTATTACGTGTATTGACTGTACACGATGCATCACGAAAGTTGTAGTCGCCTGTGTTCTTGCTTCTGCACTCCTGTCCGATGCTTCAGTGTTGCGGAAGCGTAAGACATTTACGGACAAGATAACACTGCAGAGGCTTTCAAAAAATTTTTGGAGGCTACTCATCACATTTGCTGTAATTTATTGACAGTTGACGAACTGATAAGTAAGAAGAGCAGCGGCTCCCGTCACTTACTGACACGACAAGCAAAAACAGCAGAAAGCGCAGTGTTTAAAGGGTTCTGCACATTAAGCACATGAAGTGACCCCAATAAGCTGATTCGAAATAAAACGAATATACTTCGAGCGAGAAATACAAAACCTTTGAGATACTGTCATACAGTTCATTCATATAAAAAATACTCACAGTAACAAATATTGAGGCAAATATTTCTCCGTACACACGTCTGCGTAGGCTATACGTATATAGAATGTAGCTAATATATTTTAGATCGTATTTTGTATCAGCATTCCAATAACTTTGTGCCCGAGTATCTTCTGCAGTATCGTGGTACATTTTGAAGGTATTTTTGTTTTGCTCAGGCCGCGTTGTTGTTGCGATTGCATACCTCCAAATGAGGTTAACGGATTTCGCAGTTTGACCTCGTTTATTGGAGGCAATGCTCATTATTTATTTTTCCATGAGCCTACCACTACTACCCCTCTATAGGTAGCAAATCGGGTGCCTGTCTGGTTAACTTTCCTCTTGCTGTTGTTTTTTTCTTCTCTGTCTTTGACAATGTCCTTCAGAGAAGGCAGTGGCGGCCCCTAATTACATTACCTTACTGGTTACTATAAGCTACTAGGTCGAGTGAGTTTCGCCTGCTTGCCCATTGCAGATGAATGTGGCGGTGACGGATGCAGTGGAGTGAGCTGTCAAAACGGCGGCCAGTGCATCGCCAATGGAGTGGAACAGGGTGTATGCCTCTGTGCCTTGGGCTTCGCGGGAGCCTCATGTGAAACACGTGAGTATAGACACTGGTACTCTATCATGCAACAGTTTCGGGCATCATTTCTTACCCTTCGTCATTTGCAATTTCGTCGTGCCTAATGAATAGGAGATGTCATACAGGGGTGGATAAAAACGCGCTGAAACTAGCAGAAGTTTAAGCAGGGGGATTTAAATTAGGAACGCTGCAGCCATAAAATACCCACAGCGATGGCTACTTGGTAGAGCGCTCGTTGCTAGTGGGGTAGGTACCGGGTTCGATTCCTGGTGCCGAACTCGCTGTTTTTTTTCAAAGTGGAGAATACACTGGTCTGGCACTCTGTTGTTCTTGGGTACTAATCGGGGAAGGTGGCTCCGTAATTTTCTGTAAAGGCCACTGGGCACACCTTAATCCACCACAGGCTTAGTGAAGTAGTCGAGCATGCGTCGCTGCTGTGGGAGACAGAGAACTGCAGTCACCGGGTACCTACGGCTAAAGTAAGTACAAGTGCACTGCCGGCCTGGTGCTCGACAGACCGAAGTACATAGTCACTTGATAGGACACTTGCCCTCAGGTAATTTGGTAGCAGGGAACTACCTTATTTAAAAAAAAGGTGGAATTGGCTTGCGCAGGACGGAGTTAGTTAAAGTCCACTTGTGTTGATCACTTAGGTAGTCAGAATATCATTTTAAAGAGGTGTAAAAATGATTATCATCGTTAAACATTTTTCTATGGCACTGACTCCTTTACGTAAGTGACTTTTCCATTAAAATTGAAGTCTGGAACCTAATATATCAAAATCTTAGATATCTACCATTGAAAGAGGTGAACAGAGATAACCTAGATAAATATGTGGGGTTTAACGCCCCAAAACCACCATATGATTGTGAGAGACGCCGTAGTGGAGGGCTCCGGAAATTTCGACCACCTGGGGTTCTTTAACGTGCACCCAAATCTGAGAACACGGGCCTACAACATTTCCGCCTCCATAGGAAATGCAGCCGTCGCAGCCGGGATCTGAACCCGCGACCTGCGGGTCAGTAGCCGAGTACCTTAGCCACTAGACCACCGCGACGGGGCGAACAGAGATGACCTATAAATGTTTGTATATTTGTGTATTCTACTCCTGTAATAGTCTCATTGAGCTGGCAGTAAACATAAAGGAATAAATAAGTAAACTTCCACTTGTCATTGGTCGAACTCACTTCCCGAGTGTTGTAGAAGGGTAGTATAATAAATTATTACAAGCTACATGACCGTTCCTAATTAGTGTGGCTTTAAGTTTTTAATAATTTTCAGGACATGCTTCTTAACGCTGGCCCCTCAGTCCTTCTCTGTTAAGCCTGCTTTCAGATGTAGCAATGCGTGGTGTAGGAATACACATGTACATTTTCTGTATGTACGAAGTTGAACGGAGGAAAGTAGAACGCAGGATGTTTCTTGAACTCAGTAATCAATGTCGGGTAGTCGGCCAGTCCTGAGGCTTATTGACCAGAGGTGGCGAAGCTGGCTTAAATGTACGCCTGCACAATTTCACGAAAGCTTAGTCAGAATCAGATCCCAAAAGAAGAAGAAAAAGAAAAAAAACATTTATGAAACCTAATGTCATCTATAAGGCAATATATTCGGCCGAACTGTGCTTGTAAGCCACTTCTGGGGCTCGTTCATGGCGCGATGCTGTACCACCGGGCTGTTAGACATCATTATTTTGCCCAACAAGTGAGGGAGTGGCCAGGAGAGTGGGTAGGGAATGATCTTTCATGCAGTTCAAGAGAGTATGGAAGAGGGCAGCTGTTTCTCCGCATAATGAGCAAGGGGGACTAATGAGGTTAGAGTATGTACGTGAGTAAACGTACGGGAAGGGAGAAGGAATAACATATGGGCTGTACTAATGTCTTGCCCGAAAAGTGGCAATATAAGGGGGTAAGTGTGCTCTTTTATTCATGCAGCTGTGGAGATCGTGGTGCCATCTTTTAATGGGTCGTCCTACCTCCGGTTTCCCGGACTGGGCTATGACCATTTGTCATTCCTGGATGTCCAGCTGGTCATGAAGCCTCTGTCACCGCACGGCGTCTTCTTCTACAACGGAGCCAAGATGGACGGCACGGGAGATTTTGCGTCGCTCCAAATGGCCGACGGTCACGTCGAGTTCCGTTTCGACCTCTCTACCGGCACAGCAGTACTCAGGTAAAGTTGCGAAGGCCTTGGTGGGCCTAATATTAAGTCAACGCAGTCAAAAGGACCAGATGAAAATTAATGAAACTTAACTCAGGAAAAAACAACCACATTCAAATGCTTTAGTGAAGTAGATGAGAGGACATTTCACGTTTCTAAATGAAAATGTCCCACTGCAATGCTTGCAATATTCGCAATCCATGCACTCACTGTGAAATAAAGGCAATGCTGCAATGTTCGCAATCGCTCCACATCAGTCAACTAAAATGTTTTGAAGTTTTTTTCGGTTTCGACGAATGATTGTAGGATGGCATGCCATAAGTGCATCAACCATTGAAACACCATTTAGAAATCTTTTAATTAACACTTGTAATCTGGTTACCTAAATTTTATTATGCCCATACATTGTGTCTTTTCTTTACGATTTTCTTTAGGCGAGTTGTATTCACGTGCTTGCTTTAGTTTTTGTTTTCATACATTTTATGCTACAGTCGAGCCCGACTGTATCGAACCCGTTTATATCAAATTATCTCGTATATCGAACAATTCTTAAACACGGTAAGTTTACATTGAGAGTATATAGCAAAAGTTACTGTTTTATCGAACAAAAATAGCAACGACAACTGATATATCAAACTCCATGTGCCTTGTTAAGTTTGGCCTGGAAATTCGTCTGGGAAGTCGCCGTTGTGCGTAAGCCGGTCCACGGGGGTGGCTCTATATCCCTTCGGCGCCCAGTCTGCCAGACGCTGTCGAAGATTTGAACAATTACCCAGACAATGCGGCAAGCAAAGGCGAGTTCCCGTCTTTCAAATGCAGACCCTTTTGTCGCCTCTTCGAGCAGAAGCGGTGTCTGATGCCCTAGGTGATTCATCTGGCGACGGGGAAGCTGTTGCGACCGGCGCCAGAGCTGACAGGAGGGTGGCGCTCCTTTTAATCCCCAATCAAGTAGCCGACCGGCCGGTTGCCTTTTCCCGCCAGGCATTGTCCCTGCTAGCCGGAGGATGAGACGTCGTGTCGCCATGACATCGTAAACAGTTCCAGAGAGGACAACAAAGAAAGCATCTTCCTGGAAGAGACCGCAGCGGCCACCGCAAATCACCCCGCTAATTGAGCTAACCGATCGGCGGACCTTTTGAGGTATGCTGTCAGGACCGTGGGACCTCTCGATTAGCGGCACACACACGACGAGGAAGAGCCCTGCTGGCGCCACCTTGCAGTGCCGTGTTCACGACTCAATATTGGACGTTCACGTGGACCGTGCATGCTCGTCTCCCTCACCTGTTGTGTGTGTGGGATTCGTGTTCCACTCGAAGAGGAGGAGCCTGACAGGGCTTAAAACGACGCCGCAGAGTGCTGGACGTCGCTCTGAACCATGTAACGGTTCAACCACCACGCTCGTGGTTTGTGAAACCAATAACCCTTCTTTGCTGTAAATATGTGTAAATAGTGCCATAAACCTGTTTTGTTTTTCGTATCCTCTTCTTGTAAGCGTTCAGTTCCTCCACCCGGTTACACCACGCTACCGCGGGAGACCGGGTAGAACCTCATTCGCAACAACTGATGGCAGCGGTGGGATGCCGTCAGCAACTTCCTTCTTGCGACCCATAACAACTGATGGCAGTGGTGGGATGCCATCATCAGCGACCTTCCTCCTTCAACCTTTACAGCCTCAAAAGTGCCCCAGCAAGTTGGCTTTCCCTCGCGGTGGCGGGGAAAACTGCCGGCGCCACCCTGGAAAAAGTTGGTTAGACCAGGTTGTGCGCGGGCGAACACCCCCCTCCAAGAAATGATCCTGGCCCGCTCGCAGCGCTTACAGCCAATCAGAGGCCGTCGTGCTTTCTCGGAGGTGGTAGAAGTGAGCGCCATTTTTTCTTTCTTCATGCTTGTGTGCCTGCTGCTGCCGATTCAGCGTGGTCTGTGGTGTTGCCTGTTGGTGCTCTGTGAACTGTATTGGCGCGCTGTCATCACGGCTTGCGCAAAGAGGCAAAATTTGCCGTTCTCCGCGAAACTCGAAATCATCAATCGGGTTGAGCGCGGTGAAAAGAAGTCCGACGTCGCCGCCGCATACGAAATTCCGAGGAGCACATTGAGTACTATTCTGAAGAACAAGGCAGACATCAGGGCCAAGTCAGACAAAAGGCCAGGTGCCCGTGGCGCCCGACGTGTGCCGCTGCTGTGTACGAAGATGTTGAAGCGGCCATTTACAAGTGGTTTGTGGACGTTCGGTCGCGAAACATCCCAATGTCCGGCCCTATGATCGAGCAGAAAGCCAAGAAACTTGCTTTTCTGCTTGATAGGAATGATTTCCAAGGCGGTTCAGGCTGACTTCAGCGGTTCGAAGAACGGCACGACATCGTTGGCAAAGCTGTTACAGGTGAAAGCAGAGCGGTGGACCTGGACAGCGTAGAAAAATGGCTCGAGGAAAACTGGCGAGATATCGCAGCAAGATATAGAGCCCAAGATATCTTCAATGCGGATGAAGCCGCTCTATTTTGGCAAATGTTGCCAAACAAGACACTTTCGTGTCGTGGCGACAAGACAAGCGGCGACAAGGCAAACAAAGCTCGTGTTTCCGTGCTCTTGGCAGCTAATTTAGACGGATCGAAAAAGCTTCGACCTCTGGATATCGGGAAAAGCACGGCACCGCGGTGTTTTCGAAATGCGCTGTCGCTTCCAGTTACCTACCGAGCAAACTTAAACGCGCGGATGACCGGGGAGCTTTTCAGCAGATGGCTATCGTCGTGGAATGATAATTTGGTGGGCCAAAATCGCAAGGTGTGCCTGTTCGTGGACAATTGTTCATCGCACCACTGCAGTAGGACCTTCAGCAACATCGAGCTGCGTTTTTTGCCCCCAAACACTACGTCTGTACTGCAACCACTGGGTCAAGGCGTTAAACGCGCAATGAAAGCCGGCTATCGGAAGCGCCTGGTGGAGAGGCTGCTGCAGAACCTTCGTGTCGGCAGGGAGCTTAAGATCGACTTGCTCGGAGCTATTTCTATGTTGAGTATATTGTGGGCAGATGTCAAGAAGGAGACGATCCAGAACTGCTTTACGCATGCCGGCTTCCACATGCCTGGTGATGACACCCCAAATTCTCACAGCACTGAAGACACCGCAGGTGTTTCCGCCGAAGTGTGGAACGAGCTGGCAGAGTTCCTGGGTGCTATCGACGGATCGACATTCGACGAGTTCGTCAGTGCGGACGATGATGTCCCCATCATGGGCCAATTACAGGATGAAGATTACATTGCAGACGTCGTGCCGACCACGAGCCAAAGCGACAGCAATATGCAAATCGACGACGGCCCATTGCCTACATCCTCCGAAGTTATTAGTGCACTTGAGGTCCGGCGCTTTTGCTTGAATGTGGAAGGTTGCGGCCTCAGCTGCTCCGACTCGTTGGGCAACGTGGAGGCGTGCGTGCTGTCGCAGGCAGCGAAGTCGTTAATACAGAAAATATCCGTGACTATTTTGTTCCACACTAGAGCAAGCAAGTAAGCCACCATTTTAATAAAGTTCTTTTCTTCTAGTTTGTTATGTACCTTTGTGTCAAAACCTATACCGGACCTATATCGAATTATGCCATATATCAACTAATAAACGTTTTTTGGCGAGTTCGGTATACCCGGGTTAAAGTGTATGGTTATTTTTTAACCAGATCATTTATGTATAACTGATAACTGCAAATCACTTTGCAATGACTCCATTAGTCAACAGCGTTACTGGTGAGTGCACTGGAGTTATCAGTAGTGTTGAAGTTCAGTTATCAGTAGTGTCAGATTGAATAAGTAAGTACTGAGAATATGAAATTAATACTTGATTAAACAGGTCATTACCAGTACTTCGCTATAGTGCTGTTTTTCTCTTTTTCGCTTGGACCATGCACTCTGTCTCGTTCAGACTCCTTGCACTGTTCAGCTCGCGTGGCTAAACGTGGGGCGAAATCACACGTGATACTCGCGAACAGGACCCGGACAACTGGAGACACCAACGATGACATACACCAGCTAAATTTTGTTGTGAACAGAAACATGTAAGGGTGTTATTTAGTGTGCAGTAAAGTTAGGTGAAACTCTGGCGAGTTGGGGTTGCAATGCTGTTCGTATCCTGTTCATAAGCACGATGTTACGTAGCTATTACGAAAAACAACTAGCCCAGATGTCAGCGATTAAGACATCAGCATTCACTTTGCTATTCACCTCCTCCGGTAACTTTTTTTGCTGTGCCTTTTATGCTCAACGGTTGAGAACAGTCGCATCATTTAAAAAAATCGTTATAACAAGGATAGCTATTTTGCCGTGGTGACCTCTATTTCTTTATAAATGGTATTTTTTAACTAAATTAAAATAAAGCCATATCTTGATGGAAATCAAGAAACAAGCATTGACGTCGACTAAAAAGTACTCATTAGCCAATAATAAGCATACATTGCATGACGAAGTTAGTTAGTAAGTTACACTTACCAGTAGGCTGTAGCGCACTTCTACCTAATGTCATTCATGTGTAACCATCAAAGCAAAATACTGCCAGTTCCTTTCTTATAACTTGTAACGGTACAGCTTTTCATTAACCTCAGCTGCCCTCTCGTCCCATCTCCCTACGTCAACAAAAGAAGGTTGGGATCTTCATGAGCCTTGCCCTTTGCATGCTTTTTTCTACTGGTTGAGAGCATTGGGCTTACACCCCTGCAGGAGTCCGTTCTCGGTGGCCCTCGGTGAGTGGCACATGGTGAAGGCCTCCCGCACCGGTCGACTCGGAACCCTGAAGATCGACGGCCAACCCAGGGTGGAGGCCCACTCGCCGGGTGCATTCACACAGCTCTCGCTTCCTCTGAACCTTTACCTGGGCGGCGTGCCGGACCCTAAGGAGACGGCAGTCGGTGCCGACATTATGCAGTCCTTCGTTGGCTGTGTACAAAGGGTAAGCGACGATTTCAGACTGAGATAAAAAAGAAGGAAACTTGATTCGGGGTCACAGTAAAACGAAGAGCTTATAGCGGATTACAAGCCATTAACAGCGCAATAAGAAAAAGGGGATAGATGAGGGGACACAAATTGCTATAAGCTTTGTGTTCTCTCTTCTGTTTTCCTTTGGTAGTTGAACTTTCAAAAACTTGCAATCACCATATACAAACACGCCCAATCTCATGCTTTTCAGAGCTTTGATCCTGGTACAACGGTACCTTGCCTAGTTTCTGTCGCTTCATCTTCATGCTAGCACTCTCTGTCCTGTCTTCTGTGCTTTCTTGGTTATTGCGCGGCTGAGATTTCATAGTCGTGGTGCACCCACACGCCCAATCCCGCACTCTCTGAAGACAGATGTCACACCTGTGTGATTCTTGGTGATGGAAGTCACGGCAATACATTTTATCCTCACAACAGCATACAGTGAGATACAGGTGGCAAAAAGAAAATTTGTGAAAAGCGCATATTATTAGAAAGTTTCTTTCTCGGTGCTTTGAAGGCGGTTCGTTCCTTGGCCGTTGCCATGTAAATTTTGTTACGTATATTAATAAATGATAACGCTACATTGTGCTGCTGCATCCTTGTTTCAATGATTCAGTTTTAAACACAAGCTTTCTACATTCTGTCACTGACCTGCCAACATTTCGAGGTTGAAAGGTAGTGCGTCTCAAACACAAAATAAAGGAATTTCGTGTGTCATGTACTTGTGAGGACACTTACGCTTGCGCTTTCATTAAGCTCATTTGGATATAGTGTGCTTTTGATTGTTCAACTGTACTCGCGTTAGTAAAAGTCACGTTGTCACTCTCAACCACTTTGAGCATCTTGCGTAACCCGCGAATTAAGGGGCATTTATTTCTCGGCATACACATACTGGAGCCCTATGTATTAATACAACAGGAATGTAAACGTTAGATAATACTAATAAGAGTGAGAATTTGCTAGAGAGTTCTAATAACGGTCAATTGAATAGACAGTAATGAGAATTGTAAAGAAAAAATTAAGTAGTTTACAAGTAATTACGCTGCTCTTCAGTTGCCACTAAAAATATTCGTGGTAATCCAGTAATAATACATATATTCAAAAAGTCTCTGTTGTGTCACATTAGGTTAGGACCGGCACACCTTTAAAATTCCCGGTGTACCTTCACTTTATATCTAGCTCACCATCAACAACCGGCCAGTGCGGCTGATGCAAGAGGCCCTGTCAGGAGTGAACGTGGAGAACTGTGTTCACCCTTGCGTCACGGGCCCCTGTTACAATGGCGGTGCCTGTCAGCCACGCATGGATCTGTACGCCTGTCACTGCAAGCTCGGCTATGCCGGATCCAACTGCCAGAATGGTGTGTGTTCTTTTTAGTACAGCTTTGTAAGTTGCTGTCATTGACGAAGCACATTCGGGAAAGCACAGTAGCTGTTACTTTCACATGGGTTCATGATGAGGCTGAGAACCAGTGGAAATTGAGGTGCTGCTTAGTCTGCATAATTCGGAAATGCAGAAAGAAAGAAAGAAAGAAAGAAAGAAAGAAAGAAGAAAGAAAATTACTATCCACAATCTCATTGAACAAGGTGACCTCCTTTCTTCCCAAACCACTAACGCCTCAAGGCACGCAAACTAATTTGCGAAATGTGGCCGATGAAATTGCACGACGCAATCATTTCAAAGGCATTTGGCAGTTGTGACAAATCGCCGGATACCACACAATACTTATTAGAGAAGTATGTCCTAATGGCGCCACAAAAGCCTTTGAAAAGTAATGAGGAGTGTACGCAACAGTAATGTGCAAATGTACGGCGCCACTTTCTTCAGAACCATCTCGAAAGAAGCAAATGCTCATGCGCCTTATGAAAGGCGCGAGCATATTGTGAGTTCTGCAGTGTGCTGCGAAATAAAACACGACAGTCACGTAATTACTCCTTGGTTTTATGTGTTTGACGGTTGGTATATCTACCTTTTTCAATGGTTCCATTATTGTGCTGTGTGCCTCAGAAAGAGGTGCAAGAGTCAAGAGGCAGTATTCATTGTGGGGGTGAAGGTTCATGCTGTGTCTACGTGTGCGCGCTTCTGTTTATTTACTGTGTTACTGTGACTGTTTATGGTTGCACGCTAGCTTCAGGCAGTGCTTGTGTGCGTCACCTCACTTCGTGCTTTGTGACATTATTTTCTCAGTTTCTAGCAGATGTGTATAATGTTGATTCATCAGCTTTTTGCACGAATAACTACTGTTAGTTTGTGAGAAAGCCACGACGTACTGACACCCGCTTGGTTAATGCGTAGGCTGATTGCGTCCCATCTGAGTCATTTCTGGCTCTAAGGAAGGACACGACTTGCTTTTGTTGGGAAAAGTTGCTGAAGCACAGACAGAGACGACATCAAAGTTTACGTGTGCAGTGAGGGCCTATGGCATGAAATAGTTCACGTAAGCTTGCTTCTAAGCTGACACACATCACAACTTTTAAACCGTGAAGCGTATCACTTGTACGCGTATGCTGTAAGGAGACATGGTAGGAAACATTCATATTGTAGAGAAACTTTAATGCTGAAACTGTCAGTGCAGGACCAGATGTAATAATTTACAGCTAGAACTATAGCATATTGGAGTTGCGTTTCTGAGAATGCGCAATGATCACTTACGATGGAAAGTTTATAGTCTATTTATGCTACTTCTTGCGAGCAGACTAGATTTGAAAATCAAATGGTTTCTTTCATTTACTGCCTAACAAACATTGTTCTGACAATTAAAGTTCTCATCTGGTAATGTATGTGCAGGGCATAATGTGTGTGTGTGTGTGTGTTTGTGTGAAATGATCACTTGCCGTCTTGTTGCGAGGTTTTTGTAGCAGCTGTGCTCTTAAGGAAACGAACCTGACTGAAGTGCACCGAGTGAATATCGGTCACCAGAGCACTGTGGTTGGCGAACAACGCTGAAGAAAAGAATACATAAACAGTAATGAGAGTGTTTCATAACTCAAACTACGATCTAACTAGCCCAATGCGTGCGCCTCTCGATGTGTTGAGGTGTATTGGCTGCCATTGATTGTGGTCGCTGGCGCAAACTTATAATAAACGCAGGTGCTCAGGAGTGGTCGAGCCGTGAGTATTTCGGGCTCTGCAACGCACCCGCGACTTTTGAGCGCATGATAGACACCGTGCTGTGCAGCCTGAAGTGGAAAAGTTGCCTTTGCTACCTGGACGACATTATTAACTTTTTGTCAACGTTTTCTGAGCACCTAGAACGATCGGATCAAGTTCTAACGTGCATTGCCGGCGCCGGGCTCCAAATAAACACAAAGAAATGCTCTTTCGCTAGCAAATCTATCAAGGTCTTAGGACACGTCATTAGCAAAGATGACGTTTGGCCCGACCCTGACAAGATTTCTGCAGTCCTTCACTTTCCGCGTCCCGAAAGACCAAAGGAGCTTTGCAGTTTCCTTGGCCTCACTTCCTATTTTCACCGGTTTATCCAGAACTTCACCTCTGTTGCTGCTCCATTACACCAGCTACTTGCTTCCAACGTCACCTTTCTGTGGTCTCAAGAATGTCAAACGGCATTCTACCTACCTGTAAAGCGGGCCCTAACATCTGAACCTCTTCTTTGCCACTTTGACGAAGCCGCATCGACTATCCTCCATACGACGCTAGCGGCCTTGGTGTAGGAGCAGTTCGTCTACAACGCGACAAGTCTTCCTTAGAGAAAGTTGTTGCATATGCCAGTCGTGTATTCACCCTTGCCGAAAAGAACTACACGATAACTGAGCAAGAGTGTTTGGCTGTGGTTTGGTTGGTGCAGAAGTTCCGTCCCTATCCCGACGGCCGTCACTTCACAATCATTACGGACCACCATGCCTTATGCTGGCTTTCTACACTGCAGAAGTTCCGTCCCTATCCCGACGGCCGTCACTTCACAATCATTACGGACCACCATGCCTTATGCTGGCTTTCTACACTGAAGAACTTGTCCGGACGCTTGGGTCGGTGGATACTACGCTTGCAGGAGTACGATTTTAACATAACTTACAGGTCAGATAAAAAACATCAAGGCGCCAACGCTTTATCTCGTTGCCCGCTTCCAACTACCCATATCAGCATTGGTGAGAACTCAACCGCCACATCTACCAAAGTTTATACGCTCGCATCGATAGGGCAACCCTTTTCGGACGACAACGGAACATTTATCTCCTGTCAGCTATCCGATTCATACTGCAGACGAATGATGGACCACCTTTTGGGAGTTTCTCATCCACCAAACGGGCGACTTCGTCGTCACTCCTGCACTTTAAGCTGGACAATGGGCTTCTCTACCGCCACATTTACCACCCTGATGGTCAGCGCTGGGTTCCAGGATGCTCTTTTCGACTTCAATTGCTTGAAGCCTTCCACGATGACTTGACGGCTGGTCGTCTTGGATTTAAAAAAACCCTTGACTGCATTCGATGTCGTTATTACTGACCTGGCCTTTCTTCTAGTGTAGCGTGGTATGTCGGTTCCTGCTACTCATGCCAGCTTCGTAAACTCGCAACGTCTCCACCTGCTGGACCTCTACAGCCACTTCCGTGCCCTTCAATACCGTTCGAGGTTGTAGGTATCAACTTTTACGGGCCTCTCACCGTAACACCTGCTGGCAAACGATGGATAGTGACTGCCGTGGACCACCTGACACGATACGCTGAGACGTCCTCTGTTATTACAGGCTCAGCTGTATAAGTTGCAGACTTTATTCTTCACGCCATAATCCTGCGTCATGGGGCTCCCCGTGTACTGCTTAGTGACTGTGGCAAAGTGTTCCTGTCACAAATGGTAAATGAAGTACTGCGCGCTTCGGTAACTACTCACAATACAGCGTCAAGCTACCACCCTCAGACAAATAGTCTCACAGAAAGATTTCATCAAACCCTTGCTAACATGATAGCCGTTCACGTTCAACCGGGCCACAAAAACTGGGATACTCTTTTACGATTCCTGACTTTCGCCTACAACACCGCTGTTCAGCGAACAACTTGCTACTCACCGTTTTACCTCGTGTACAGACACACCCCGACTACCTTTCTCGATGTTTCCTTCTTTAACAGCCATGGCAATTCATGACAGTCTTCTAGCGAAGAATACATTTCCCGCCTGGCCCAGTATCGCCATCAGGCTCGCATCAATACTGAAGCGAGACAGCACGAGCGGAAGATCATCTATGACGCATCCCATCGCGTTGTGTCTTTCCAATCTGGTGACGAGGTATTACTTTTGACATCTATTCGCACTCCTGGTCTCTATGACAAAATCCAACTGCGCTTCATAGGGCCATACATAGTTTTACATTACACTTCATCGGTCAATTATCAAGTGACACCACTTGTCACCCCAACAGACCACCGTTACCGCAGCACCGTGATTGTCCGCGTTTCTCGCATGAAACCATTCACGCGACGTTCCTCGTCACTTTGACTTACGGCGGCCAAGGTGTCCGCTTCCAAGTGGGGGGAATTAGTGTGGTCGTTTGTTACTTACATCATTCTCATCCCTGCATAATCATAATCACCATCATTCGCTCGCCTCTGCCTCATGGCCACTCTGGGCCATCATCATCGTCATCGTTAGTGTACTGGCTCTGCCTGTTCGTTTTGCGAGGTCTTTCTTCAAATAAATGCTGTCCCAACCAAGACTATCGAGACTTCATAGTATGAATGTGTAATGCTGCCAAACATAAGGCAGTGGGATGGAGTTGCAGGGTGCTCGAGACTATTAATTATGCATCATTCATTTGTAGTTAGTGATCCTGTGGTGCATCATTGCAAAGAATGCGACGCTTTCATTCGGCCGTCTTTTTCTGTGAGATGTGTCGCACGCATAATGTCTACATGCACACACACATCGCGAATGTGTTCGGTAGCTGTAACAGACGCAGTGCAGCTAATTTGCTGCTCACGCAGTTTATGGTAGAAATGAGTGTAGTAAAGGTGAGACATGTGGGATTTTTGCAGAGGTTAAGGAGGCCATTGCAGAACCAATGATGGGTGGAGCCAGCTACCTACATTACACATCAGATGACATCATGCGAAGGTACGTTTCTAAGACACAATTGCGAATGACTTGTTCTGCTTATCATTCACTGGATACTGTTACGAACAGCTCAGGTAAAAGGAGCAACGCAAATACAGAAGATGCCCCACAAAAAAATACACGACAAACAGAATCATTTTCTTTTCTTTGTTGTTTGCGCTGCAACTTTTACCACAGGATTATGTAGTAACTGGGCCCAAATGAAGTTTTTTACTGTTACAAACAGTACGATATTTTTTATACATGAAGGGGCACGACACCGAGATGACGGAGATCACGGCCTCTCTGGAACTCGCACATGCGACGAAAGTTCATTTTGCAGCACGTCGAGTGCACTATGTACGGCTCTTTTTGAAATACATTGCTGGAACTTCACTGTTACACAATGCCACTGAGAGTAAAACTTAGGAATGCTGTCGTACAGGCTATGATATTGAAGGCGTAACCACCAATATTAACAGGCAGGTCATATGGGGGTAGTTGCAAGCATTTTCGCACTTGTAGTGTTGGTTGCATGCAACTGATGGTCCTCAGGGATGGGACTACAGGGCATACTTTCAGCCATGGTATTACTAAGAAATGTCTGAAGCATGGGCCACGTGAAGTTTAGCGTGGATAGTGCATGTTAACGAAGCATTCGGTAGTGAGTGAAGGTAGGACACTGCTTAATAGTGGGGAGTGAGCGTTCAGTTCGACAGCGAGGTTGGTATGACAGAAGGGATGCATGGACGTGGCATGTACGTGCGATGCGGTCCAAAACGTTCGCGTATACTTGCATGCATAGCAATTCATAGCTGCACGACATGTGTCCACTTGCAACTTGCAAATTCCAGGATACGTGGCGACCAATTGGACGTTGTCCTGGCCTTTCGGTCATTCTCAAGTCACGGCCTGCTGTTTTGGGCCGGAGACTCTAGCCAACAGAACCGTGGTACCCTGTACTCGCCATCGGACTATCTGTCGTTGGGTCTGGAGAAAGGTCTACTGACATTACGCTTCAACCTTGGTTCCGGTGAGGCGCAGCTCTGCTGGAACACTACGCGGGTTGACGACGGCCGCTGGCATCGTGCAGCTCTGAGCCGAAGTCGTCAGCTGGCTACACTGGGTCTCGACGGGACATCACCCGTGGCAGTGACGTCCCCAGGACGACTGAGGCAGCTGAACGTGCGCAGCGGACTTTACATTGGTGAGCTTGCTCATGATCATAATACGTTCACGCGAAATAACACACCAATGTATAAGGCTTAAAGTGACGACAGGTCGTGAGATTTCAGACGTCTTGTTGGTCTAGCATACGCCAACGGTCTAACATGCGCCATCAACCCTTTCAGTTTTTTGCGCCCTGAGCACAATTTTAGTTTGCACTGTTGTGAACGGTGCAATATATGCCACCAGCTTCCAGAGTTTTATTTATCGCGAATGGTGTACTGAACAATGCCCATTTGCGTAGGGGTGAACGGTTTAATATTGTGGAGGATGAAATAGACATCACCAGCTGCGACAGTTGTGATGCACATTCGAGACACTACGATTGACAACAGTGCTATGTCTCTGATTGTAGCGTGAATCAATATTTTGGGGCATGAACGATTAAAAGAACACTGTTAGCTTTATGAACCTTGAATCGTTCATTATATAGATCGATCAGTTTAGTTGTGAAGCACTAAATATACACCATTTATTCAAGAAACTATTGGGGATAGATTGTTCAGCACCTTTAACAAGAACACTCTGCCACGTGTCCTGCAGTAGTTTGATTGACGCTGACACCGCGTACGTTTGGGTTCTGTTGCCAAGATTCTAACCATACATATGACATACTATCCAAGCCTACCGAGGTATCATGTAGGCAAAAGCGCCCAGCACTTCGCTGCTGGCATCAATCAAACTAGCCCTAGCCACGCATCGATGTGTTCGTGTTAAATGTGCTGAAGGCTGTACACTGTCATTTGTGAAAAACCCAGGGGATGCTGTCAATATATGTTGTGATGCATATTCATGGAATGAAAAACAGCCAGTGGCAGCGGTATCATGCAACGGCAGTTATTGATGTTTCTGTTACCAACAGAATGTATTGAGGCCGGCAAACACTGTCCCTTGAAAGTATGAATGCATGCTGATTTAGGCTGACAGCGTATATTAGTATTGCTTAGGCGCTGCACTACCGCAACATAATGACCGGGTGAACACTAACATTTCTGTGGAACAGACCAGGTAGTGGAGGTATACGTAGTTATGATGACTCAATTAACGACGCTGCAATTATGAACTAACAGCAATTATTCCCACCAGATGGATTTCAAGCAGGTATACGGCATGATCAGAGCATATCCACTTTCTGAACATGAACAACAGGGTGGTATATGAAGCTTTGGGAGATGTCGGTAGTGCTGTAATGTGTTCATCGAAACCATCAATTGACGATGATTTGCTTTAAGTACTGAAGCAGAAAGATGCATTTTAGATTGCTGTATTCTGTCACGTCATTTCTTGTGGTCAATGCAGGTGGCATTGGCGACGTTGCCCACGTGACCAGAGGGCGCTACAAATCGGGCCTGGTCGGTTGCATTGCCAATCTTACCCTCGCCAGTAACTACCACGTCCGGCTGGTCTCACATGCTGCAACAGGCATCAATGTACAACCCTGCCTTTGAGCACAAGGCGACGCACCGCACGTACAGCCCCCTGCATAAGTATGACCAGGCTCAGTGAACAGCGCACCAGGTAGCCCCAGAGATCCGTTGTGCCCACACTTTCATTTTGCCACTAGAACTGATGCGTTATGCGAGCGCTCTCTAGGTGGGTGACGTGACAGTAGTAGGCTGAAGCATCAAGCAAGACATCATTGTTCTGTCTAAAATAAAGTATGCACTGAAGGTCAAATGCTATGACAACTCTGTCCGTCATAGCCTAATTTAGAAACCCGCTAGTCGACATACTTAGCTTTCTTTTCATTCCACAACGCGCCAGGAGCAATGTCTTCATTGCCAGATTCCCCGGGGACCATTAAGAAGCGACGCTTGGGCTACCCTGGCTGCGACAAAGAAGACAGAACAGAAGCTCTGAAACTATGGATAACACGTGCGAAAATCCTGAATCTGCCTGCAACGGACGCTGCCGTGACAGCTTTTGCGACGCCTAGAAACTACGCAAGTGCCCACGCTACCATTCTAACCCAAATGTTACTCTCCAACGTCGCGCCTTACGTGCTCTACCCGTGACATCACAAAGTATGGCCACAAGTAGTCGGACACTACGTGACAATGACGTCTGACGCGCAGTCATGGTATGAACTCTTGTTCAGTTGATTGGAGTGGCCCGAATAGATGTGTGTAGTGCTATAATTAACCCAATGGATTTCGTGCCACCATAGTTATCCTCGCCGAACCATGCGGAATTCATGGACAGAACTACGACATCCGCCAGCTTTGCTACGCCTTGAAGCATGCAAACAAAGAACTGCGACCAGCGCTCGTCGGACAATGAGTAGTCATACATGCAATGTGCTGTGAATGCGTGTGAAGAGATGGAAGCATGCGTTACGATGTGGTGTATGCTTGATCACCCTTGTACGGTTACAGCTAATGTGTCTGCACCTTGTCTCATTCCTGTAGGTGTACAATGCAGCACAATCACCGAACATGGTAATTCCCTGCAACAGTAATGTTCTGAAGTGCATTCTAGCCCTACAGGATTGATATCTTTTGTTCATAAAATCTCAAATGGTAACGTGTGCGCACGCATTTGGTAGAAAATACTTACTCCTTAAGTAACTATTCATACTGTGGCTTATAATAGGCTGATTATTACATTTTGAACGTGCACCACATGCTACTAGCACAGAAAATGTGAGACAAAGCACGCACATGTGTGTGTGTGTTTCCCAATTGTTCTTGTACAAATGCCTCCTAGCAACCACTCCTGCTTATGTAATACCTCTAGTTCAAACAGCCACAGAAGCGTTTACGGATAACAGATGACTACGCTTTAACGTTCAAGCCGCAGAACACGCATGCGTTTGTATCACAGCTCCAAGCTTCGCGAGATGATTGCGGCTCCACGTGAATTGTGGCATGACTCGAGGGTATGATGTTCTGCTTGAAATCTGTGAAGTAGAGTGTACTTTAGGGATAAAACTCTCCTGTAAAACCCGCAAGGGAGGTCTCGAATCTGGATTGTTACATTCCGTATGTATACTGCAGAAGTACGAGACTTCACCATGCATTTAACGTAAGTTATTGCCTTCAGCACTTCTTATTAACTTGCATCTGTTGTTGCTGCGCTCGCCGTGCTTCTGCATGTACTTATAAATTTCCGGAGATTCTTCGTACGCACCTTCCAATTGTGATATGACCCAGCACTTTGCCCTGTGTGCGTGCGTGTGTGTGTGTGTAGGCTGGCAAGAATGGACGTGTAGGGTGCAAGAATGCGTTTGTGAATTTTCGCGACACTCCCGCTAGCAAGCGTACACGATATTGTTTGGTGTTCCTTGGTTTTTAATGAATGCGGAAGCACCAGAACTAATACTGTTCAGCAACAGCGAGAATTTCCGCACATGCAGTTCATATAACAATATCTTCATTTGCCAGAACTTGAACTTTTCACCTCGTTTAGTTTACATGTACGATATTTTACGTAACAGATGAAGCTTCTTAGTTGTATGATGCCCTTTGTCGCATACTGCATCTTTCGTGAGGCCATTGAGCGTGGTTCACGTTCAGACCGTTTCGTCAATGCACATATCAACGTGAACAGTCCGCTATTACTAAATTAGCGTATCGCTGCATTAGAATGAATGGTGTTCTGTGGTAAGACACAGCAGCAAAATATGTACACGTATTTTGTCGATCTCGTTAAAGCTTACTCGCTTCAGGAAGCAAAGTTACACTGACAAACCTACGACAGCGCCTACGTAGTAGTGTGTGTTTATAAAAGCAGATGTCGAGTGCACTACTCAACACAGCCTGTGTAACTCGAAGATGAGAAGTAAAGGTTGACCAAAGCACTGAAAATGTCTGTGTAGATTCGGATGGCTCCATGGAGCAGCGCTTCACGAAATGGTCCCATATGTTATATCAGCGCCAAACGAAATGCGAACAGTGGCAAGCATTCGCTATGGTACACTTGAAGCCCGTTATAAGAGATGTGCACAGTGGAGCAACTCTTGTCTTTTATATAAGGTGCCTCTTAAAAGGAGGGAACCACATATATATTTTTATCAACACCTATTTTACCGTGAGCACACTGTTGTACTTTATACCCAATTGTCTCTTTCACCAGTGTCACTTATAAAGGGATTTGACTGGATGGTGTACACCATGGAGTCGTCAGAATGAACAAGCCCACCTAATCTAAGTGCTGCCAAACGGGAGCATGTGCCTGTCAATGGTAAGGAGTGAAGAGAACGCACTGTGCTATTGCAAATGCTTGCCACTGTTCGGGTTTCATTTGAAGGTGAAAGTAAGTTGCATGTGGATGCAAAGACTCAAAGGAAGGAATGTACAGACGCAGCCAATATAAGTTGCAACATGCTGGCCGTGGTAAACGAGGCGCCAACATGGTACTGTGGCTCAAACATAAAAAATAAATTCAAGGACACAATCATAAATCCAACACTATCGCCATTACTGCTTATTTCAGTTCTTCTTCTTCCTCCACTTCCAAGAACTGAACTCTTGTCTCCTTTTCGCCTTCTTCGGTCGTTCCAACAATGAGAGATTTAAAGACGCTTTCGACAATTGCTATATGCAAATGTATTTACATGTTTGCCGGTGCTACAGTGCATGCTTTGGGCTGCTTTAACCATAGCCATCGTGTTGCAACTCATATTTAGCGCCACTGAACAGTGACGCCTTACATTTGACGAACATATCTTCATTCGTATTACACAACCACACACACATTTAACCTGTTATATGAGGTTCGCGAACTTCCATTTTATGCACAAATCGTAAGATTTTCAAATAGCCTATTTCACCTGGTATGCTTCAAAACTATACAGTTCTTGTGCTTGATTTTTGTACAAAAATATGTTGTGGGAGACCGACCAAAAAATCTGGCGAAACCTCACTAAAGTGGGCCTACAGACTTTTTAGGAATGCTCGGCATTAAAGTATTATTGCGATAGCAATTTCATGAACACTCTCGGCTGGATTTTGTCGTCGGCGTCGACATTGGTGTCGCCATGCCCCGCCGCGGTGGTCTAGTGGCTAAGGTACTCGGCTGCTGACCCGCAGGGCGCGGGTTCGAATGCCGGCTGCGGCGGCTGCATTTCCGATGGAGGCGGAAATGTTGTAGGCCCGTGTGCTCAGATTTGGGTGCACTTAAAGAACCCCAGGTGGTCAAAATTTCCGGAGCCCTCCACTACGGCGTCTCTCATAATCATATAGTGGTTTTGGGACGTTAAACCCCACATATCAATCAATTGGTGTCGCCATCATTCACCGTATATGAATACGTATCTATATATATATGTACACTAAAGAAACTTAATTCAGAAAAAGACTCCGGCACGTGGTATCGAACATGGGCCATCTGAAATGTGAGTGCGAGGTGTTAATCACTGAACCACGAAAAAGCACAGCCTCCAACGTTCAAGGGGCAAGCTATTTATGTATACCACTTACCGTTCGTGACGGGCATCTCCAGGGGAACTATCGTGTTTTCAGCATTACCAGCAAGATGACGCAACGAGCGCACGTCGCCACATTGTCACGACGCGGCGGCGCACGCTCTCATCTCCCACGCGTGTTTTGCCCCACGGAGAGGGAGCTCGGTGGACGCTAACGCGCGCGATTATCTCGCGATGGGGACAATCGTAGTCTTGGCTGGTTTTCACCGGAACGTTACCGGGTGCACAAACGTCACTGCAATCGCTGCACAGTCTCCGATTGCGAAAAGGGTGAGCTTTTCATATACAGCGAAGTAACAACTGAGACGCTTATTCGCGTTCATCTGTGCCTGTAAGTGCGTTTTGTGTGCTATTTGTGCATGAGAAACGCAGGGCACGTTTCCATCTGCTTGCCATTTTGTGCGTGACCTTGAAATTTGTTACCATTGCGTTCATTGCTTGGCCTTTGCGGCAAAGCTGACTTTTTTTATCAAATATAGCATTCACCGATTTAACTTAAACTTGTCGATTATCGGTATTCTGTCTTGCGAAGTCTTATCGCGATTAACCCCTGCCACCGTTGAAATGGGAACTCATTCAATCACTTTTCAAAATTTAACTACTGAAGTTTTTTTTTTCACACATAAATTTCTTATAATTCGCTATTCAGTATTCCTGAACATTTTTGATAACTTACTGTTGGCACAGAGGCGGTGTCGTACCCAATGAAGTGATACTCTTGGCAACTCACGGAAACTGAGTATAAACCACCAGATGAACTAGGAAGAACAAATGGGGAATATAATGGTGTAATATGTATCTTTTATTATTCTTGTCCATAATTGCCTTGCTAGTGTCGACCATTCCATAAAGTTGCTTCATACTGGGAAAATAACAAGATCTTCGAGAACGTTTCCAAGATTTTTTTTCTGACAATAAAGTACAAATATTTGAGCGCCCGTTCCTCAAACAAATGTGGCTGATCCGTGATATAAAAAACAGTATAACACAAAAATAAAATGCGTCTTTACAGAGGAAGTTCAGCGTTTAGTGTGTATTAATTCAGCAACAACGAGAAATTGCAAACACACGTTAGGAACGGCAAGCAGCTCAAAACTTGCAACGCACATTTCAAGCAGAAAGCACGCGCGAAATGAGCACATATACACAGAAAAAGCACGGACAACCAACTGTCACAGCTCGACACTGAAAGCCCGCTGTTCAAAGATAAAGGAAGATGCATGAAACGAGCGCACAAGTATCCACAGGACAAGCATGAGCAACTGTCCCAATTCTTCCGGCGTCGTGGTTCAGCAGTGCACTCTTTTCGTAAACGGGGCCGTGGCAGCGTGCTAAGTGACCTTCGTTCTCTCCCGAATTGCGAGTCTGATTGATTGATGATTTATATGTGGGGTTTAACGTCCCAAAACCACCATATGATTAGGAGAGACGCCGTAGTGGAGGGCTCCGGAAATTTCGACCACCTGGGGTTCTTTAACGTGCACCCAAATCTGAGCACACGGGCCTACAACATTTCCGCCTCCATCGGAAATGCAGCCGCCGCAGCCGGGATTCGATCCCACAACCTGCGGGTCAGCAACCGAGTACCTTAGCCACTAGACCACCGCGGCGGGCCGAATTGCGAGTCTGATAAGCGAGCGAGCAGGAGAAACCACGCTCCGTGGAAGCAGCACTTCGTAGAGGCGACAACCTTTGACGCACCCCACGCGAGTCTGTCGCGCCATCTCGTTCCTGAAAACAAAGACGCGTTAAAGTTTTGAAGCTCTGAGGAGTGGCAAACGATGCATGGTGTATATAAATTATTTCCCGTTAGCATTCCAGCCAACGTACGCTTTGAGGCGTAGTGTTTAGCGCAGCACGCTGAGGATCGCGAGGTTGCTGGTTCGAATTCGCACGACAATGCATGCCTTGTGGTTTTCTTTTTGCAATATCTTAGTATATATTTTTAACCCTACTCCCCGACGGAGGTACGTCCGCGAAACCATGATAGACCCCGGTATAAGACTCTTTTGTTGTAATAAACTTTAAACAGCCTTGGTACAGTTTAAAGAACTCTGGCTGTTATAGTTCCCCAGACACAATAGTAAATAAAACGTTTCAAAAAAGCGTGAACTGAACCTAAAATCCTTTCGCTGTAGAGTTCGCCGGTTCGTTTTTTTAATCTCAAAATTTTGTTTTTCATAAATGAACCATTGCACCGTTTGTAAGAAACCAAAAGCAAATATCAATTTTTTTCATGACATCTGAATCTGTGGAGTTTATCTTGAAACATTGATTGGTAAGCTACGCTTAACAATCACTGCTCTTAACGTGTTCTAGTTCAAATGCAATTAGTTTACTTTAATCCGCAGGATTCTCTACTTCTTCTCCTCCTTCTTCTCCTCCTCCTCCTTCTCCTCCTCCTCCTTCTCCTCCTCCTTCTCCTCCTCCTTCTCCTCCTCCTCCTTCTCCTCCTCCTCCTTCTCCTCCTCCTCCCCCTCCTTCTTCTGCTTCTCCTCCTTCTCTTTTTCCTTCTCCTTCTTCTCCTTCTTCTCCTCTTTCTCCTCCTCCTCTTCCTTCTCCTCCTCCTCCTCCTTCTCCTCCTTCTTCTGCTTCTCCTCCTTCTCCTTTTCCTTCTCCTTCTTCTCCTTCTTCTCCTTCTCCATCTCCTTCTTCTCCTTCTGCTCCTTCTCCTCCTCCTCCTCCTCCTCCTCCTCCTTCTTCAGCAAAAACGTTTACAAACAGTTTATGAAACGATACACTAAAACACTTTATGAAAATAAAAATATCATGCAAACACTTCATGAAACCAACTATATCATGCAAAACACTTCATTAAAAACACATCATTCAAACAGTTCAAGAATATGTACCCCAATACTCTAAATAATGAAGGTTGAAACTGTATAATAAAAACAGTGAAATACATGTCTAAACGAAGTATAAAATTGTCATTGAAAAGTTATCGTAGAATGTAAGAGAAAGTTTTTTTTTACAAAATTTTCGGAACGGGGTGCGTAAAAGTCTATGTCGTGCCTCACAATGTTTAATAGCTGGGGTATTTAATATTGTAGGTCCTGGCATCCGTAGTTTGTTCGCGTGAGGGGTGGCCTTGTTGTTTGGTGGCGTAACTGATAACATAGAGATGAAATCGGTGTACTACAAGTATGTGGTCCCTGTTTTTTTATGAGCAATAGTAATCTATGATAGTAAATTTGATTTGCTTTCATCAGTGAGTGTTTATTAAAAAGATTGTATGTGGGTAAGTCTCGCGGCCTACCATGATAGTCTTCGAAACTTCTTATTACATTCCTTAGTAAATGGAAACACCGAGCATGCAGTGGGGTTTGAATGCGGGTGCGCTGCGTGCCAGCCCAGTATTCAACCACTGAGCCATGCCGGTGCTTGGGACTCGTTCGCAAACTTGCCTTAGACAGGCTTGATGTCGGGAAAGTAATCGCGTTAATATGAGTAATAAAGCATTTTTCAACAGCGAATGAACAACCAGGTGTCACACAATGCTAATATCGTAACGGATGGGTTGTGTAATGCTCCGACTTATTACAACAGCTTGTTCTTGATCAGCTGTCAACTGTGGCGCACACCCCCTTTAGGCATAATTCTTCATCGTCGTCAGCCTCTGAATGAACAATTGGTACATAATTCCTTGTAAGAGTTTAGCGGATACCATGCTTCTCCGAAAAACCACTAAGGATAGCATATAACGCCGGCCTACCACCCAATGTACCGTAAGTTACGATTATTATAGGCGTAGTGGGTTACAGTTACCCGGAGAGTTGCCCTGAGAATTAGTTTAGCCATATTGGCACCTGAAGGTCACGTGGAATCCAGTCTACAATGAAGCGAACTTCGTCTTCAAGCCCCATATCCACCATACAGTCTAGTTCATCAAACACTAGGTACGTGCAGCGGCGCAGGTTTAACCAGCCTTCCTTCAGGACGGTGAGCAAACGACCAAGAGTCACAACACAGATCCGAGGACTCTAACCGAGCTCCTCGCACTGCTGCTGTTTTGGATCGCGACAGGAAATACAAGAGACTCCAATCTTTCTATACTGTTCGGTCTCATAGGCAAGCTGATGGACGTGAGCCACCTCATGGTTCGCTACGAGGAAGAGTGCTATGGGTCCACTGGAGTGGTGACATAGAAGCTGGCTGAAGACCTTTGCCACGGCAGGCATGTAGACAACCACTGTCACTTCAGTTCCACCAGGAACTATAGCGCCACGAGATCCCTGCCTTTGAAGGCTACGGGGCATCACTGAGCCTGAATGATCGTGACAGGGCCAAAGCTCTTCGCTTCGAACCATCCTCGTGAGCCGTCAAGTAGCTGAACTTCGAAGCTTAGCACAGACTTCGGTACGTCTCGCCAGCTGACTACAATCTCGTTTTCATGTCAATAAGGCTTACCTTCCAGCTGAGAGCACTGAGCAGTTGTAACTTGCTCCATGTATGCGTTCATGCGAAGCTGCGCCATCTTAATGCGGTTCCTTTTCGAAGGAATTTCACTAACCGGACTCTTGTGAGCTTAGATAGCGAAATTTCGCTTCTTGTACATTTCAGTGGTCGTGCCTGGTAATCCCCGATTGCTTGACTAGAAACTGGGTCCACACTCTGCCGCCGCCGTTTACCGCGTAGTGGATGGATGTTCTTGGGTTCTACGCTCACGCCACGCGGCTTGTTGGCCAGTATGTCCAACAGCGCTTTTATGAAGACCGATTCCATCTGGATGACTCGACATTGTTTCACAGGACTTGTGTTGAAAGCCGCTCTTTGGTGGTTCCAGGTGTTTGGTGGGCTGCTTGGGTCCTGGTAATTGAGTCTATACTTGCTACGGAATGAAGATGTAGCACTGAAAAAAAAACTGCAAAAAAAACTTTTGCCTGTTTGGTTGTCTCGCCTAAGGAAACCTGGCTCCAACCCACGAGGGGTACATGCTACACTGTTGAATAGACGAGGAAGCCAGCGAGTGAGTTAGTGAAAAAATTATTTGGTCCACAATACAACAGGTACAAAGGGAAATAAGTGAAACGCGAAACAACGCTTTATACTATGCAACACCAAACTAAAGAGAGAAAAGTAACGCTATGTAAATGAATACACAAGGAGAAAAATAATACAAAAATAAATAGCCGAAAATGATTTTTTTGTTGGCCTGTATCATTACCGATATAGTATTCTATAATCCTGAAAGATGTGGAGAGCAGCGAAAATAGCACTGCTGATTTCCGTCAAACTGATTGTCTCTGAAGTTGAACTGGTTAGAAGTGGTGAATGTGAAACCTAGCTTTCTAGTCGGCGTTCAAGAAACACTCCAGGGATGGAGGTAGCACAGTGGCATGAATAAAAAAGATGGTCTGTTTTCTGGATCATTCAAAACATGGCCGAGGTAAATTAAGGAAAACGAAGATTTGACGACTAAAACTGAACCGGGGAGCTCTACAGTGAAAGCTCGCGAGCTTCTCCTTCCATTGACTTTAAAGAAAATTTTTATTGTTCTATGAGAACTGTTACAGCTGGTGGACTGAAAGAAAGCTGTTTAAATTTCTGATGTCACAGGGCGTTTAAGCATCTCTGCTTTAATGAAAAAAACAAACCACAACTCAGAAACCTTCTTGAAGATAACTTTTTTATTTTCAATTACGAACCAACTGTATGGAAAAGCCCACCATAACAGAATATCGCTAAATAAAGGTGATTGCAATGGAAATAATAAAGCAATATAATGCAGATTTGTTGTTTTCTTTCATCTAGTTGGTTATACTGAGTTTCCTGAAGTAGCCACCAATAGGTTATCACAAAAGTGTGGAATGCTCAAGGCGAATTCTATGAATTTTACGTAGCCTGAAACGAATCTGAAATAAAAAAAATGACTTGTTCAATACGAAAAGTTGAGAACGCTCTCAATGTAGAACACTGATCATTGAGAAATCCAATTTAATTTGATGATTACAATCTTTCAAAATATTTTAAAGCTAAATATTCTTAAGCAAGGCTTCATACTTCCTTGTGAGGTCTCGCCCAATTTTTTGGTCGATCTGCCAGAAGATCTTTGCTGCTTGAAAATCGAGCAAAAAATTAAGCAAACTCTAATGCCGTGCAACTTGCCCTGTAGCGTAGCCTTTCGGAAGCTATTACAATCTGCGCAACATACAGGAAAGAAATTCGACAATATCACTTCCTGATTGCCCGTTATGATTATGAACAATCATAAAGTGGATGCTTTAGGGGAGTTTGACTATATGAGCTTGTTTTGCTAATTCAGAGCCAATGGAGTACACTTACAACCTCTGCGAACACCCTGAAGATGGCCAATGATGTGCGTATACGACATTATGGCACCAGGTTCAATTATTTTGCAAAAAAAAGACCACTCACAGTAGAAAGTATCAGAGCACTGGAGAGTTGTCTCGGTATGTGCGCCATGTAACCGATCATAAGAATGAGCTAAATATTTAGAGTAAAGTGGAGAGAGGAGCCCTTGAAAGCGTATGCACTGTACCATGGGCAAACGGCATGCAACTGTCTCTTCAGAAAACAAATAGACCAATGCCTGCTACCAGATGCTCTTAACTGAACGTGAGACGGACAGACATGGTTAAGGTAAAGGGTCGATGATTAATGGTAGACCACTTACAGCGAATGTAACCCACTGCACGTAGCAATTTTATTACAACTAGCAGACACTGCAAGGTTCAACTATCACCGCAGCGCATCGGTAATAAACGGTAGATGTACAGTAGCCCCAATCTTGAACAATTGCGCGCGAGTGGCAATGTCTCCTTTATTTTCGCCTTATGACGTAATTATATTCAAAAAGTGGTAAGGACAAGCGCGTACGCACATATAACATTCTCAAAAAACAACTTTTTGGCCTCTTGTCATGTGGCGCTGGTGCAGAAAATTCGCCGTAATGCTCAATAAAGATTTGGACGACTGCACGTAAATAATGATTTTAAAGAGGCATTTTCATCGTTCATAGAGAATTTTGAAAGCTGACAATCATCGTTTAAAAAGGAATGCGCCTCTACCACCAACAGCAATCTCGTGAAAGTATACGCTAGCGTCTAGTACAAGTTTTAAGATTGTAATTAAAAAACGTATACGTTTTGTATTTAAGCATATTGAGCTTCTGTGCATATGTGCTCGTGGGTTGAGACCTTTTGGCCACTTAAGATACGCTCAATATATTCGTGCGTTTTTTTTTTGTTGAGATATGATTTCATCTATAATTTCGCAGTATTAGGAACAATAATAATAGTTGTCCTTTATTTTTCATCAAGAAGTTAGGGAGGCTGTGAGACAAAGCTGAAAAGCAGATTTATTAGTTTCTGGCCCCCGAAAGTACCCTTGGGGAGTTTACAGCATCGCACAACAGCATTTTTAACAGAGTACTTAAACAATTAACCCTTTAATGACGTAATCATGAAACCGTCAAGCAAAATAAAAATTGCGTTCATTTTCTAGCTTAAAGTGGCAACCCTGAAATGATTCCGCAGTTAAATGATCTAAAATTCAACTATAATACATAGTTTTGCATAGGTCGTAAATTTTCCATATGTCCCAGAAGCGAGGACCTAGCAACAAAAAACATACTTCATAACTACGTAACATGTGGTGTACCACCTCTTGAGTGCGCACACACCAGGTAAAGAAAATTATTGGAGATATAATTTACGTCACCAAGGTGAGAAAAAAAACGAAGAAGTGGGAGTTGTTGCGCGCGCATCACGCTTTCCTCCATGAGCTCCAAAACAATTCGTTCTAGCTTAAAATAACTTCGACGAGACTGCGCTATATTTTTCATGCTCAAATATAGATGCCCCGTGAGTACTTGGCAGCCGGTGATAAAGGTGGCACGCATTTCGTGACTTACTTGCTCGAATTTTTTTTGGTTTGTCGCTAATTCGAGACATCCAGTAGGAAATGGTTAACAAGCTGAAAAAATGAGAAGCTGAAAAAACAGGATTAGCAGCAGCCATGCAATGCATTTTACTCGTAAACGAAATTACTGAAAGCACTTTGCAGCAATTTATAACGCCAAATTAAACACCAAATTTTGAAGAATTCGTGATTGTAGGAAATAAACCTTGATAAACGCCGGGGTTTCTCCCGAAAATAAGCTCGGTAACACCAGCTCGAAATTTAAAATAAATCTGCTGAAACACTGAGCTCTAGTTTTACGTGATGTACCTACCGTACAAGGAATATCACTGAGGGTTTGTGCCACAGCAAAAAGGCCATCCACCGGGGTAGGTGAGATAAGGATCGTAGAAGCTAGGAGGAGGGCACCTTCAAGGATAAATAAATGGAGCTAACCTTAATAACTCTATCATAGATTCGAGTTAATTTCTGCAAAGTATGCACGCAGTTCAATTACATTCGGTATACAATGAGTCTTAACTATAACACCCCCGATTTAAAAAAAGAAAGATGCTATGTAAGAAACCCTAGCACATATTTCACTAGTAGACTGGAGTAGCCCCCACTAATTTTCGCACTATTTAGGTTCAATTATTTAGCCATAATACGCTTACCACTCGACAAGTGTTCAAGAAATTGTCAGAATTATAATTGTGGGTTTGACGTCGCAAAACCACGATATGATTATGAGAGACGTCGTAATCGAATGCTCCATATATTTTGACCGCGTAGTGTTCTTTAACATGTATCTTACTATAAGTACACGGGCTTCAAGTATTTTCGCTTCCTTCGAAAATGCGGCCGCAGCGGTCAGGATTCAATCCCGCAACCTGCGGGTCAGCAGTCGAGCATAACTACTAGACCACCATGGCGGGTAATTGTCAGTGGGTCAACAAGGCACATGCAATTAAGGTCAAATGACATCTCGCTGCGTACTTTTCAAGGACGTGTTCATTGCGTTAGCACTTTTTCCGGCTGATGAAGAAAACGCGGGCAATGTAAAAATCAACACGTAGCTCCGCTGCCCCCAAGTCACATGTCACTTTTCAGATTCGTCAAAAAGATTCCCGCAGTCAGTGCGTTGTGGAAAATAACGCAGTTACATTTCACCCGAAGAAGCCTACATAGGCCCCGCGGACATTTCGATAATTAGGAGGGTACTCGTACAGTTACAAAGATAAGGTTAAATAATTAATCAGACCTCATTGAAGAAAAAAAAAATGCCGCCATATCCACGAAGTGAATGATGATGAGTGGGCGAAGCTCCGGAGGTAAACCTGGTAAACCATGAATCCTCCGTACATTTTGCCCACTCGATTTTATTGCAACGCTCCCCCTAGCGTACGTCGCCGCACTATATCGAACGATGACATGCGCCATATGTGGCATCATTCCTATTTTATAACACCTCGCATCTTTCATAATCAACTACACGTACCGCCGTCTAGTTTATAACATCTTGCATCTTTTGGACGGACGGACGGACGGATGGACGGACGTATGGATGGATGGATGGATGGACGGACGGACGGACGGACGGATGGATGGATGGATGGATGGATGGATGGATGGATGGATGGATGGACGGACGGACGGACGGATGGACGGATGGACGGATGGATATGGCTGTACCCTTTAGATCGGGCGGTGGCTAGCGTAATACTTAGAACTGAACGAGAGGTGGCTACATACAGGGGACGCACAGCCCACGCCTTAAGGAGCTTCGCTCCTAATAATAAGGTGTACTCTGGTGTACTAGAACCAGCACGCACTACCTCTGCTTCACGAAACATTGTTTTTCTTAATTTTTGAATTTATATGGTGTGATAGGACACTCTAGATAGCGCAGTGAAATGCAGTTGAGACAACCTGAATTGTGGGCTATTATGTTTTGTATTGTGCCCTGCTTTTATCATTAATAATTAATGGTACGTGCTAATTCCGAAAAAAAATACGTTATCACGGTTCAGAGAATTTACTTATCATAGACTGCGGACATCAATAACATGTTCGCAGAACATTGGAACAGAACAGTACATGCGCAGACACGTACTAAAAATTGCTACAGAAAGATAGGCACACATACGCACATTCATTTCAGAAACGCTGCCACTTTACATCGTTCACGCAAGCATTCACGCTCAAAGTTATTGAAGAGAAGTTTATGTTGTAGAGATGCGAGGAATTGTTTAAATTACAGTGTTTTTTTTATTATGTGCCGGCAATCGCCCCGGCCGATGACAGCTTCAGCAGCCGAAGTGACTTGTTGTGCCCTGGATCTCGTAGGCTTATTAAGAAGGCGCTAAAGCTACCGCAGTAACAGAACACTACAGATTCCGCTGTGAAGCTACAGAACGTCATAGTCGTTAATTCAGCTGGCAAGGAACGTACTTCACACAAAATTTAATGAAGCGCGTCAAAACTTATGCTTCGTTCAGTTCGTATATTGCGTATTTTAGCAAACAGAGTAATACGGAGTACAGTTTGTAGGAAAGAAGTGTACATTTCAGAGCTTCTTTTATTTGTCAGACACCATAGTAGAGAGTTATAACAGACAATGATGCCAAGCGAAGTATAGATGATGTTATCAGAAGTAATTGTATTGTATATGTGAAGAAAGAAAAGTGGGCGAAAAGACAATTTGCCGTGGGCAGGGACCAAACTCACGGCCTTAGAAGAACGCGTCCGAAGCTCTACCAGCACACCAGCATATATACCAGCATATATATATATATACCAGGGCGGCCAACACACCGTACTCTTTACTGGGGGTATATGTGTATTAAACATGGGAGCGTCAGTCAGCGCCACCAGTTGGCATGACGGCGAGTGTGACCACACTTTATCTGCCTGTTTTGGCGTGACGTATCACGTAAACTTATCACGAGCTGGCAGCTGACCAATAGTCTCTTGTGTACCACCTGAAGACACCAAGTTTGCCAGAAAGAGACCTTTACTCTGAATTACGAAAAAAAGTGTTGAAAAAGGGTTTATTGGCGACTGTTGCGATGGTGGTCCTACGATGAAACACGATCGGACAAGAGCAACGGTCGAGCAGATGCCGGCGATGATCAGCACGAGCCGAGCGAGCGAAGCCAAGCACCCAGTACCCAAGCGGTGGCGATGTTGTTTGCCAACGATGCGTTTTCTTCTTCACAATTTGCCCCCGCCGAAAAAGAGCCATCCTGGCGACCTAAGAGTCTGGAGGCAGAGGGCTATGATATGGCTTAAGGCGGGCGATGTGGACGATGTCACGTCCACGCCGGCGCATGTCGTCAGATGGGGAAAGTGGCTCGATGAGAAAATTCACCGGCGAGGTTTGCTCCAAAACGCGGTATGGGCCCTCGTACTTTGGAACGAGTTTTGAGGATATGCCGGGGCTTTGGTAAGGAACAGCCAGCCATACAAGTGATCCCGAGGAATAGCTGGGGCTTTGTGAAGAGTCGGCGTTGTTTTCTTTCTGGCGCTGTTGTTCTTGCGACGTAAAGGTGCGTGCGAGTTCACGGCACTCTTCCGCATTACGGGCAGCTTCGGACACAGATGGGCATTCGGATGCGTCAGGATGGTATGGAAGGAGAGTGTCGATGGTGTGGGATGGTTCGCGGCCATAAAGAAGAAAGAAAGGTGAAAATCCAGTGGTAGACTGTGCCGCGGTGTTATATGCGAACGTGATGAATGGAAGAATGCGATCCCAGTTAGTATGATCGGATGTCACATACATGGCGAGCATATCGCTAAGGGTGCGGTTAAATCTTTCCGTGAGCCCGTTAGTTTGCGGGTGGTATGCAGTGGTCTTGCGATGAACAACATGGCATTGAGAAAGCAGAGACGTGACGACTTCTGATAGGAAGGCTCGACCTCGGTCGCTTAGTAGCTCTCGAGGTGCACCATGTCTTAGTATGAAGCGATGAAGGATGAAGGATGCTACGTCCCGCGCAGTGGCACTTGGAAGGGCGGCGGTCTCAGCGTAGCGTGTTAAATGGTCCACAGCGACTATGATCCACCGATTTTCATCTGATGTTGTCGGTAGAGGGCCATAGAGATCAATTCCGATCCGATCGAAAGGTTTGGCAGGGCACGGGAGCGGTTGAAGCGCACCGGACGAGTGGAAAGGCGGTGATTTGCGGCGTTGACAGTCAGGGCAGCCCATAACGAATTTTCGAACGAAATTATACATTCCGCGCCAGTAGAAGCGATGGCGAATGCGTTCGTAAGTTTTGAAAACTCCGGCATGACCACATTGGGGATCGTCGTGAAAGGAGGCGCAGATTTGTGATCGCAAGCTGCGCGGGACAACCAAGAGCCACTTACGACCTTCGGGGGCGTAGTTGCGTCGGTGTAGCAGCCGATCACGAATCGCGAAATGAGCAGCTTGACGTCGGAGAGATCGTGGTACCGCAGTGGTTGACGATCCAGAGAGACAATTAAAAAGGGAAGCGATCCACGGGTCCTTGTGTTGTTCACCGGTAAAAGAGTCGAGGTCGAGAGATGCGACGGAGTTGGTACCAGTGGTTTCGCAGGCCGAGTCGGGAGGTAAAGGCGAACGCGACAGGGCGTCGGCGTCAGAATGCTTGCGTCCGCTGCGATAGATGACACGAATGTCGTACTCCTGGATTTGCAGTGCCCACCGAGCTAGGCGGCCAGAAGGATCTTTCAATGTGGCGAGCCAACAAAGTGCATGGTGGTCCGTTACCAGGTCGAATGGGCGACCGTACAAATAAGGGCGGAACTTGCGAAGCGCCCACACTAGCGCCAAGCACTCTTTTTCAGTGACGCTGTAATTGGCCTCAGCTTTAGTAAGTGTGCGACTCGCATAAGCGACGACGTATTCGGAGTAGCCCGGCTTGCGTTGGGCGAGGACGGCGCCTAGACCAACCCCACTAGCGTCTGTGTGAACTTCCGTTGCAGCTGTTGGGTCGAAATGCCGAAGAATTGGAGGAGATGTTAGCAGACTACGGAGCGTGGCAAACGCGACGTCGCAGTCAGAAGACCAGGATGAAAGGTCTGCATCACCGCGTAGGAGGTTGGTCACTGGTGACATGATCGACGCAAAATTTCGAACGAAGCGCCGGAAGTACGAGCATAGTCCGACAAAACTGCGTAATTCTTTCAGTGTAGTAGGTTTCGGGAACTCGGCGACTGCTCGCAGTTTTGCAGGGTCGGGTCGAACACCATCCTTGGACACGATGTGCCCTAAGATGGACAGCTCTCGCGCGGCGAAGCGGCACTTTTTAAGGTTCAGCTGGAGCCCAGCGTTGGTTAAACACGTCAGCACCAGTTGGAGCCGACGCAGATGTGTAGGAAAATCGGGAGAGAAAACGACAATGTCGTCGAGGTAGCATAGACACACAGACCACTTCAGTCCACGCAGTGTGTTGTCCATGAGTCGTTCAAACGTGGCAGGAGCATTACAAAGCCCAAATGGCATTACGTTAAATTCGTACAGGCCATCTGGTGTAATGAACGCAGTTTTCTGGCGATCAGCTTCTGCCATAGGAACCTGCCAGTATCCAGATCGTAAGTCTAAGGAGGAGAAGAATTCGGCTCCTTGGAGGCTGTCAAGGGCGTCGTCGATGCGCGGTAATGGATAGACGTCTTTCCGCGTCACCTTGTTTAATCGCCGGTAGTCGACGCAAAATCGAATCGATCCATCCTTCTTTCGAACTAGAACGACAGGAGATGCCCAAGGACTGTGCGATGGTTGAATAACGCGACGGCGTAGCATCTCTTCGACCTGGTCGTTGATGACGTGTCGTTCTGCTGCAGAGACACGGTACGGTCTTTGACGCAATGGCTGGTGCGAACCGGTGTCAATGTAGTGGTGCACTGCGGAAGTCCGACCCAATTGCGGCTGAGAAACGTCGAATGAATTCGCGAAGTGCTGGAGAAGATTAAGAAGCTCGGCGCGTTCATGGGCACTTAAGGTGTCGGCGATGGAACTCGAGAAGGTGTCACTCGATGAGCATTCCAGTGGGGAAAAAGCATGAAGTTCGGTCGAGGCGCTACTGCACGATTCGTCTGGCATGTTAAGGAATAAAGAGGAATCGAGGTACTCCACTCGACCGAGACATTCGCCGGCAAGTAGCGTAAGCGGTGCAGAAAGGGGGTTGTGGACGAAAATATTGCTTCGGCCCCCAGTGACGTCGAGTGTAGCGAAAGGCAAGGAAACGGCTCTGCGGCTCATGAAAATGTCGGAAGGTGTAAACATTACTGTAGCGTCGTTATGGTCATCGCAGCAAACAGGGACAACGGCAAGAGAGGCTGGCGGAATTTCAGTGTCTTCACGTACGACGAGTTTTGGAGACCGCTCAAGAGTTTCGTGCAAAGGTTCGTCATACAGGTGCGAAAATTGAACTTCAGCGCGTGCGCAGTCGATGACGGCATGATGTTGTGACAGGAAGTCCCACCCGAGGATAACGTCATGCGAGCACACCGAAAGGACGATGAACTCGACAACGTACATAGAGCCTTGGATGAAAATGCGGGCTGTACAGGTGCCGAGAGGTCTGACTGGCTGTGCGCTAGCCGTACGAAGCGATAGTCCAGAGAGCGGCGTGGTCACTTTGCGGAGGGAGCGGCAGAGCTGGGCGGCTATAACAGAAACGGCAGCACCTGTGTCGATGAGGGCAAATGTAGAAACACCATCGACAGATATGGCGACGACGTTAGCAGGTGAAGTGCGAGGACTTGGGCATTTCGATGACGGCGCAGTTCTTGCCTCTGGAACTGCGGCGTTCAGTTTTCCCGGTTGGAGGAAGCGGGTCGGGGACGCATTGGGGACAGAGATCGCCTGCGAGGAGACGGCGAGCGGGAAGAGTGAGTCGGAGCTGGGCGCTGGGGTGACTGAGACCCGGGAAGATTAGTGTAGCCATACTGCGGTGAAGGATAGGGAGCAGGTAGGTGCGTGGGCGGCGGGTCATACGGTAACGGCCAAGTAGCGTTGTGTTGCGATTGGAAACGACGACGACAATATCGTGCCACGTGTCCTGGAGTACCGCAGGCGTAGCAGATTGGTCGATTGTCAGCAGTGCGCCAGGAATTGCTGACTCGCGGTGCAGCCCAAGGTGTCGAAAGAGGGGTAGAGTGGGGAGCAACTGCAGGCATGGGTGGCAAAAGCTGCTGGCGGGGTCTGCTGCGTACCACCTGGGCATAAGTAAGAGGCGCGGCCACGGGCTGCATAGCCGGCGCATGGGGAACAGTCACGGCCACAGGCTGCTGGTGGGCAGCGACGGGAACAGCCTGAGCTACCTCTTCGGCAATAACGTCGCGGAGTGGTGAGGGCAGACGAGAGGACGGCGGCTGCTGCGTGAAGGGAATCAACGACAGTTGCCGAGCTACTTCTTCACGCACGAAGTCTTTAATCTCTTGCAGGGTTGGTGCGTGGTCAGGAACGGAAGTGAGACTGGAGAGCGAGTCGGCGTGTGAGGAAAATGGCCGAGTCAGGGCGCGCTGCTTGCTCAACTCCTCGAAACTTTGACACAAAGTATCAAGTTCCGCAACGGTGGCAGGATTACGGGCGAGGAGCAGCTGATATGCACCGTCATTTATCCCTTTGAGGATGTGTTGAATCTTCTCCGACTCGGGCATGGTGGTGTTCAGTCGGTTGCAAAGTCCAATGATGTCTTCAATGTAGCTTGTGAAAGATTCCGTTGGTTTTTGTGCGCGAGTCCGCAAGCGTTGTTCGGCTCTGGACTTGCGGACAGCGGGTCGGCCAAAAACGTCAGCGAACAACGTTTTGAAGATGGACCACGTCGTAATGTCGTTTTTGTGGTTGTTATACCACATTTCGGCTACGTCAGTGAGGTAAAAGATGACGTAAGTCAATTTGTCCGCGTCATCCCACTTGTTGTTTGCGCTTACCAGTTCGTAGTTAGCGAACCAGTCTTCCACGTCAGTCTCATCAGCTCCGCTAAAGACTTTGGGCTCTCGCAAACGAAGAACGCCGGGGTTGCTGGGGGATGGAGTGGAAGAGCCAGGTTGCGCGTTGTTGGTAGCCATGATGGTAGGTAGCGTTCGGTTGCGCAGCTCCAGGTTGAGGCGACGGCGAATGGCAGCACCCAGGTTCAGGCGACGGGGAATGTCAGCACCCTCCACCAATTGAAAAAGGGTTTATTGGCGACTGTTGCGATGGTGGTCCTACGATGAAACACGATCGGACAAGAGCAACGGTCGAGCAGATGCCGGCGATGATCAGCACGAGCCGAGCGAGCGAAGCCAAGCACCCATTACCCAAGCGGTGGCGATGTTGTTTGCCAACGATGCGTTTTCTTCTTCACAGTGTGCATATAGGGCTTGTTTCTTTGGTGGACAGAATGTTGATTAAATATAACAAAAATCATGCCACGAAAAGTATGGGGGATGTTATTTTCTTTGTTCACGTTTACATTACAATTACTTCTAAAAGAAGCCTCTATACCTTCCTTGGTATGATTGTATTTTAGAACAAATTATTATTGACATGCAGTTTGTGGAATGTATGTATTGCTGACCGTCCTTCACACAGGCGAAGTCCAAACTTAGCAGTGACCATATTTCGAGTGCGAGAAGAAAATGCCAAAATCCTGATAAACGAGATCACTTTCTTATTAACGCGTAACACGCCTGATGAAAGACATACATCAATGTGCAAGCTTCGCTAACGAGCTAGCACAATTTGTTAATCAATTACCTAGCCTTCTCAACTGTAGGAGCATTGCACTACCAAAAAAGCTATCAAATATTTAGTCTATCACCTCTACAAAGCGGGAATCACAGTGCTTAAAATGGACGAGGACAAGTAAAGACACAGCCGCGGCCGCTGAATAAAAACTTGTTTTCTATTCAGCGGCTTGATACAGCACATGTGCTGCACTTATTCACAGGCACTTGTCCTCGTCCATTTCAAGCCCCGTTTTTCCTGCTTAATGATGAACCACCGACTGGTCCAAGTGTCTCATCTACTTCAGTTTCTACTAACTATCGTAAGAATAGACTTTGATTGACAATATTTATACGCAAGGAACACTCTAGCGCTAGTCCAAAAAAACAGACGAGGTATTAGCTAGGCGTTAAGAGCCCAGAAAAACAATTTATTAATAACTTTGTACAATAAAATTAACTAATTATGAAGGACTTTTATCACCAGCTCTCGGAGTTACACGATGAGCAAACGCTCGGTGTTAAAAGCTATTGCAGCCTTGATTGTGCGGTAATGTGATAACCTGTATTATGAGGATAAAGGGGACATTGTGGGGACCTTCTATAAGCAGCACGGAAGGTTGTGCTAATATTTCTGAAGGGGTAACAAGGGCTTCGGGATTAATATCTCTGAGTAATCTTCCTTTCTTACTTAGAAGAACATTTTTAATGGAAGTACGGCTATCGATCCACGTAAACTCAATCTTGGTGTGAATTTTCTAGCCACTCTCTCTGCCATCATAGACCGTTCAGCCGGCTCTCTTCACCTTTATTCGTTTCTTATTTTCCATCTAACACACCCACCTCAATGCTGTGTCAGCTTTGTTGATTTTATAAGCTTCCCGCCTAACTCTGTTACACAGGTCCTCTTCTTCTCTATGCCGGGCGACGATTAAATGATTACATTGGTACCTGCCGATACGCTTACGAGTGGTGATGCAGTAAGACGCGTGATTTTGACAGTTCTTGAATAGCGCACCTGTCTTCCGCATGTCAATCTCGTGCTCAATTCACGAGTTCTCCTGCAGGACATTTTGTTCTAAATTACCCCTCTTCAAGACCACCCTGTCTAGCCCTTCAGAGTAGACAATTTCTGCAAGAGGCCCGTGGTCCAGCTTGATCACTTTCCTATAGGACTTTGCTATTGAACGGATGGTGTTATCAGAACTCGTATGTGACCAAGCTGGAACCTTCTGCTGAGTTTCGAAAGCTGTCACGACATTTTTAGTTTACAAGCACATCCTTAAGCCAAACGATCATCGTTTCTAATCACATCAACAGTAGCGACTTGAATCCAATTTACAGACGTCTATATCGTGTTTCCGCGTCGGAGCGTGCAGTAATACAACAGGAAATCAAGAAGACGCTTGTGAAAAAAAAAACATTTTAGATCGCTCTTGCAGCCCCTGGGCTTCTCTCGTCTTCCTTGTTGAAAAGAAGGATTAGTTACGACTTGGTGTTGACGCCACTGGCAACAATCACTTTTCGCGTTTGACGAGGCATCCAATGTTTTCCGTTCGAAATCAGTCTCACATGAAGCTCTCCCTTAACTTGCTTCGCTATGACTACTTACCCCTGCATTACGACTCTCGACTCGTTTGCGTAGCAGCGCCACCTTTCACATGGACGCTTACTTGTCTGTGTATACCCGTCTGAAATAACCGTATTTCGGAAATGACATGTGCCTGCACAAAGCCAAGAAACAAATAAACCTCAGAGGTAAAAACGCTCCTGCTGATTGTTTAGGATTACAGATATAGTACTAAAGAGGTGCGCAGAGAGAAACACACATTTTCGTTGTCTATTTACCTTTATTAGAGCTCGCTTCCGGACGCCCATTTGCCTTTGCTGATTGTGGTTCCAAGTACAAAAAAAAGCGATTCTGCAAGACGCACTGCATTCATCGTAAAAAGAGAGAGCTGTAGGAAATAAATTCCTATGAAAAATTGCCCGCAGCTTCCCTCGGGGGAACACTGAGGAGGATGCGGACCATATAATTGGTTAACGGGGTGTTAAAGTGCGACTTACTTGGGTCGATGGCTAAATTGGTTAACGTGGTTGTGAAATGGGGTGTTAAATTGCGACTTACTTGGGTCGCTGGCTAAATTGGTTAACGTGGTTGTAGGAGGGGGTGTTAAATGAGTGAACACGTACACACGTATGCGAAAGGGTGGCGCTGGTCGAAGGGACGTCGATCATTGTGTTTGTGGATTCGTTGGAATTCATTTCACCGCGACCTTGGACGTCGACGCGCCGTACAAACCAACCGACGAGCGGCAACTGAGCGAGCGAGCGCCGACCTTGAGTATATATACAGCACGACGGCGCATGCACTGTCAGCTGTTGAATGTTCTCGAAGCGCGACGCCACATGCGCGTCCACTGGAGCATCAGGAGAATTGTAGATGTCGAACGCGGTGTGTAGAGGAGGAAGGGTGCACAGATGGTGGAGGAGTGAAGCGCGCGCGGTGTGTAGAGGAGGAAGGGATGCACAGATGGTGGAAGAGTGGGCGACGGCGCGACGGCGCATGCGCGCGCGTCAGCTGTCGAATGTTCGAGAAGCGGTGCGGACGGCGCACTACAAGGCGCGAGTATAAGATGCTCCGCATCTAAAAAAACAGGCGATAGTTGGAACATAAAAACATTGATGAAGAGGTCTTCCAGCACGCGGAAAAATGAATGAAGAGGTGGATTAGGGGAGAAGTGAAGGAGAAGAGTTGTTAACAAAATGACCCCTGACACCCGTTTAATTTAGATTGTGTCTATTTATTGTTAGTTCCTAGTAGGACCACTACATCTGTGTTTACAAATAAGTGAGAAGAGATATACGACGTGAAGTAAAAAAAAGAATGACGTCACAATCACTGCTGATGTTATTGATATCATACGCCACCTGCGCACGGCGAATTGCAGGTAGGGCGGCCGCCCCCTCCCTTTGGTCGCCTAAGAAGGTGTGGGGGGTCGCCTAAGAAAGTGTCGCAAACTCATCTCTGTGCATTGACATAATAGGGATGTGGGATGCTGCGATGAGCCATCAACCCCCTGAAGGTGAAACCTGCGCGCGCCAATGATCTTAATTGCCGTTGAAACAATGTTGCGACAAACGACCTCGCCAAATTTTTAGCTCCTCTATGTTCCTTACTATTTTAGTTGGCTCAGATTTCATTGCTGCGCGCATACAATGAAGACGCTCTGTTCCTTTCGATTTTCGTGCGAAGGGTTTGAAAACTCACGTGAATGCAAATCTAGCGGTGCCCTTCGCTTACTGCAAAGTGGGCGATAGCAAGGAAAGAGCTTAGAGGAGAAGGAATGCGTATGAACATTGGTGCTGTGTGACTTATGGTGTGCATAAAAAGAATGAAGGGGAGAATGTGATGTAAATTTGACTCCTAATGAACCATTAGGAATAGAGAAAAGACCAGGGCAAGATGGAAGCTTGAAGAGATGAAAAAAGTATTGAATACTTAGTGTCCCTGGAGCCGACGTTTCAACGGTGGCTCTTGAGCCCAGCAGTTGCAGGTTTGCCTTCAAGGCTGTCTTTGTCGACATTAGCTCGTGTTAGCATAAGCTTCGTGCCCTCTCCGCAAACTAAAGCAAAGAGGACAAAAGTGCTATTGTAAGAACAAGGGTGAGGGAGAATAGATGGAGGGGTGGGTATGCCGAATCAGACGAATCAAATGCTAAAATACTCAGCAAATGAAGAAGAAGAAGGAAGAGGCGATAAAAGGGGTGACATTAATAAAGGAAATGTCGGGCGGAGCAGCGGCAACGAAAGGGTAGATGGAGGGAAAAGTGTTCCGCTTGATCATCCCGGCAAATTGTAAGCGCCGCTTGAAAATTAATCAGGTTTCGCATGCTAGCACCTTTTGATGCCAACAGCTGACAGGTCGTCAAATAATTAAGAGAAGAGAAGTCCCCTGGCGCGGTCCGCGATAGAGTTTACGAATTTGCCGAGGTCCACCGATAACTTTTCTCTCAGGTTAAGATACGTATCGCGAAGGTGCCTGACAATGGCAGCAGTGGCGTCGACGAAATCTACGCAAATTTGCACTAAGCGACGTCAAATACAGCGTGTGAAAGACAGTAAGTCTGGCAGTCGTTCGTCGGTAGTAGCTGAAGCGAATCACCGAAATAAGCGTGCTGTTTAGTTAAAAAAGTGTCAACAACGTCTTCGACTGGCCTAGTTTCGGTTGACCGAGGATGTATGTAAGCCTGATCCTAGATCCAAAAAAATTAACAAAAGAGGTGACAAGTGAAGACAGGTGTTTTGTGAATCTTTTTAATTGTTACTCTGTCTACGTGCGTGCTGTAATAAGTCAGGGAAACGCCCACGCTAGTTCACAAGGCAGGCTGAGACTTGAGGCATTGATCGGGAGTCTCGTGTAATGCTCAAATCTTTGAAAAAATTCACATAAAGTAAAGCAGGGGGTCGCAAACTTTTGGGGTGGAGAGCCAAGCCGCATGAAGCCGACGAAGCTGGAGGCCGGGAGGTGAATTTTGGGGAAGGGGTGGGGGGATGAGCCTTGCAGGCCAAAAGCTGTAGTTTCACGGATAAACACTAAGTCACAAAACTAGATGAGAAATTACCCTTTTTTGCAGCACGCATGTCACAAAGTTCTAATCAAATATAGGTAATAAGTGAGAATAGCACTATTTTTCAAAAAATTCGTGTAGGCTTTCAGATAACAAGTGATAACACAAAGTGGGAGGAGTTCAACGTCATACCGAGGGCTTTATACTATTGCCCGTTTTGTTATCGACATGTTTTTATTGTCGACATTTAGGAAGTGCAAAGTTTTTCCGGGTGTGAGTGTGCACACCACTCGTGGCACAATGACCAATATGCCTACAGTGCCCCGTGTTGGCTTACATATATTCCATAGCCTCTGTTGTCTATGTGGTCAAATGCAGCAGAAATGCGATAATTCGTTATTACGGGCGTTTAATTTGTACGTATACTTCTTTACGTTTCCGTGTTATCGGATACCGGAAAGAATCTGTTCATTTTGCGGGTCTTTACGGCACGTAAACCTTTACATAACGTAACCTATCTGCAGGATAGGCTATAATTTGCGGCCATATCTCGCAAATCCACCTTTGGTCGTAGGAACTCCCGATATTCGCATTACGAAGACTCCAACCATCGAGTGAAAATAAGCCGCAGTGCGAGCGCCAATAGCGATTACATTGTTTCAGCCGGATAACCAAAGCTAGAATGAATTAGAAAATTAAGGTCGTAAACGAGGGAGCCCCGACAGGATGTAAAGGTGCCGCCATTTAGCGGGGCCACAATGAACAAGACAATTGAAAAATTGCCGAAATACGTGCAATGCCGAAATACGTGTAGTACCCCACTACGGCTTCTGCGTATTTATGGTTTTGGTAGTAACTTTTGGTCAATTTTTTTTTGGTGTTTATTTAGTTATTTATTTTTATGCGTCTGTTCTTCATCTACTTTCATTATACAAGTTGTACTTGACGTTGCCGTTACGCTGCCCAGTGCTTGGGGGCTTGCAGCTCTGTCAAGCTGTCAATTTCTGACAGCTTTTACTGCTCACTTCCAGCGTCATGTACGTTGTGCAAGATGCGAATAAAAAAAAAAACATGACAAGACTGTAAAATTGTTATCACAGAAACATCGTGCATTGTGCGCCTGGTGTGGCAACCGCGCAGCGGCGTTATTACGAATGAATTACCTTTTTATATATTTACAACTCCAAAATATTACCCGTAAGCCAGTGTGTTCAAAACTGTGGTTGCACGAAGTGTCACAAGATGCCGACACCATCGTTGCAGTATCCTTCTATTTCTTCGCCCTTTTGCACATACGAGGATACTGTTTACAATAATAAAACGTCTCGTGATTTTGCCGCATCAGAGATTCAATCCTATCAAAGTTGAATATTGTGTAAATGCAGTTAAAATCACCATTTATGGTTTGCGAAAACAAAAACGTATCCGTTTTCGTGTGAACGTTAACTTTTACGTATAGGGAGCTAAAACGCTGAAAAACATGCGTTTCAGTAAGACGGTAAATGCTAACTGCTATACTGAAACACCTTAACGTGAAGAAATATACGAATTAGGTAAAGGCCCATATTGAAAAAAAAGTGGCAGAAATGTGGCGTTAGAGAAAACCTAAAATACAACTCTAACCAAATTTGTTCTGAACAATCTTTAGAGCTCTATTCATTCGGAAACATGCCGAAGAACACGTGTTTGTAATAGTGGGAAGGAGAGATTACACTTGTTGCAGAAAACTATCACTGCATTCTTTTTTCAGCCATGGACTGATATAAATGTGTAGAACTCAGAGCGATAGCAAAAAGCATCGTGACATTCAGTATTTTTGAAGCAACTTTTCAGGCGGAGCATACATGCCAAATTAGTAGTATAGGAACATTACGAAGCGGCTTACTGATATCGATTGATATGTGAGGTTTAACGTCCCAAAACCACCATATGATTATGAGAGACGCCGTAGTGGAGGGCTCCTGAAATTTCGACCCCCTCAGGTTCTTTGACGTGCACCCAAATCTGAGCACACGGGCCTACAAAATTTCCGCCTCCATCGGAAATGCAGCCGCAGCAGCCGGGATTCGAGCCCCCGACCTGTGGGTCAGCAGCCGAGTACCTTAGCCATTAGACCACCACGGCGGGGCGGCTTACTGATATCGTGTGGTTAGTTGTTGCTGTCAGCTTTAGGTTTCTCGGTGTATTGACTCCTACCAAATTTTAATAATCAAAATCACACTAAATAGCGAAAGTGTTTCTCATGCATCGTCTGAATATGTGAGATTACACGTAATTCACGTGGTTAGTTGTTCTAAACATACAATATGCTCCAATGTGTCATTTTAAAATAGTGTGGTGCTGCTATCAATCGAAATACTGGCACATTCACTGAGAAAACTGAACAAATGATCTAGTAGTGTACACGTTTCGCAGTATATCTTACCGTTTATTACTCTCAAGGATCCGGGATCCAACTGTGTTTCACAAATTACTTGATATGAGATCAAGGTTGATATCAAAATTAATAGTTCCTTCATTTATCCCTTTACACTTTTGGCCTCTCCTGAAATGTCAATCTTTTCCGTCTTCCTTTGTATAGGCGTGCCTTTTATAGCGTCAGTGAACTGAAAAAAAAACGGTGAAGCTTGTACTGAGCAGCACAAGGCTTGAAACAGCAAAAAAAGGATGATACTGAAAAATTACCTTTTCGCTTATAGGTTGTTTCTTGGGGATTTCTAAGCTTTACTAGGTGATGTTCTATTATTGCTGCGTCGATTTTCAGCGCAGATAGGTTAGAGTTGAACCATACACAGGCGCATACACGACAGGATTGTCCAAACATCAAGTACAGAAACTTTCTCGGCAATCAAGTGTTCGCACTCCTCAAAGATCTCACGGGAACGTCGTCGTAAACTCGGGCATTCCGTCGCTTCTGAATGCTTCTGAACCTTCTCGCAGCCGTCGTTGCGTTTGTCACTCCCTAGTAATTGATATATGGTGTTTAACGTCCCAAAACCACCATATGATTATGAGGGACGCCGTAGTGGAGGGCTGCCGCTCCCTAGTATTCTGTATTTGTACGTACTCGGGTTATTCAGATCACCGTCCTTGCTCCGCAGCCATTTGTTAAGAGAACTGCTGCCTTCTCCATTTTTAGAGGACCGGTGGTGTGTCGTAAGATTTGCGGTGTTTGAGTCGCACGTGCCCTATTATGAGGACGATAATTTTTTGGTAGACTAAACAGTGGCACATACCCGCTAAGATGACAGCTTTTGGCTTCGAAGCGCTCGAGGAAGATCACGATATTTGTATTTCAATGGTTGCTGAGTCATTCGGAATTCTCGGCAATGAGGCCTGCGGACGCCCATACCACTCTTGAGAAAGGACACCGCAATGCGACCACAATCACTTGCTCAACGTACAACTCTCCTACGATTAAATACGCAGGGTTTCTCCAACACGTGCCTGTATTCGATCGACACAAACATGCAACTTCGTTTGTCATCCAGGCCCCTATGGCGCACTGGAATTTCGCTTGTGCGCATGAGGTTAGACGCGGCGTTTACGAATTCGTATTCTCGTCTTGAGCACATTCTATGCCCAGTATACCAGCCTGAATGACGTGTTATGGAACCCAAGTTCCGTCAGCTGGATTCACAACCACTAACAGACCAGAAGATCCTCGAACCTTGGCCGAAAGTTTCGCATACGCGCAAGGCCACGGAAGCTCTCTTGTGCTTTTAGGGGCGAAGCTCCTTATAGTGTCACCCGTTCATCCCTCGTATTCGTAGTAGTAGTGTGTAACCAGTCTTACACTTTGAGCTCCAAGGTGGTGCTGGTGGGAGATTTCTTCTGTGCGTTGTTGAACAATAAAAAATTCGCAGCGTGCGCGTTAACTAAAAGCCGAATTCTCCTGTCTCTCATTCCCCATTAGCAGCTATTGGCATGTACATTGAGCACTATCTGACAAGAAAGGGTTGCTGCGTTATACTCGCTGGGCGTAACCTCATTGGTTTTAGAAAGGTTTAGCAAGCGTTAGGCCGCAGTGCCATGAATACAGTGAACTAGTATATACCATGAACTCGAGGTGGTTAAAGGTGAGAAGTGGACACGAAGCGCAAGCCGCAAAGATGTGGGCGTGTGCCTCCTATCGTTCAGTCCTTGTAATGCCCACTGGATGGCGGTGCTTCTATATGAGGAATATATGATGAAAAGATGCGAGATGGTGGTACTTGGAGTTTTGAATAGGTGGATGAACGGACACACAGACAGACGCATGGACGGACGCAGAAGCGGATGCATGGACGAACGCAGGGACGGATGCACAGATGGACGTGCGGACGCACGCACAGACGCACGCATGGACGGTCGGATGGACGCACGGGTGGCCACACAGACACACGCATGGACAGACGGAAGCAAGAACGAATGGACGGACGAATGCTTCGCCTTACTCTCCTTTATCCACTCCATGAATATGCTGGCATTTTTTTAAGGACCACCGGACTTCACGAACGCTTGTGAAACAACAACGTGAGGCCGTGCTGTGTAGCCTCTAGCTCATTATTTATGCACCTGTTTCTTACTCTTTCTCTTTTCTCTCTATCTCTTTCTTTTCTGTTACTCCCTCTTTTCCCCACCCCAAGCGCAAGGTGGCCAATTGAGCCAAGCTTGGTTAACCTCTCTGCCTTTTCTCTTCATTTCTCTCTATCTCTTTTTTTCACAGCAAATAACTGAAAAGTAACGATTTGCCGAAAAGCCTTGATGTTAAAAAATCACTTTGCTTTAAAAAAACCAGAAGTAACAACCATAGCAGTGCTATAAACAGCTATGGAAATAACAGTTTCTAGGTCTAATGACCTCGCATAATGCAGTACGCCTTGATGCGCTAGTTAGAGGTGCACTCGTAGCGCCATGTATGCAGAGATAAACACGTCATCTCACTCGATCGGTAGATGTGAATGTACTGTAGCAGTGTTGTCGTGACGAATAGCACTGGTGCAAGTGAGCAGACGCATCACATGTCTGCATCTTCTATGATACAACGCCAACTGCTACATTAGGCACGCGCAGACAGCTAACCTGAAGTGGGAGCGCACATGATGTGCGTTCTATGGACAAACTGACCACAGATCTCGTCTCGCCTGGTCTGTCAAGTCACCACAAATTATTTGAAAGGTACATTGCACACAGCGACATTAAAAATGCTTAATATCACAAAATCTTACCCTTTCGGCTCATTTCCGTATGAATAATAGTTATTCTTTACACTGTTTGTGTTGCTTTCATCTGTCCCTATCAAGTTAGTGAGCGTAAGCTCTCCTTTTTATTGTGCAAAATAGCTGCCAAGATAGCAAAGTGAATTTATCAAAAATATTTGTACGTGGGAATAGCACATTGACGCGCGTATGTGCCAGTGGCGGTGACAACGAAGCAGCGCGAGTGTCTTTGGCCGAAAGCAGAGAAGAAGAATACGTTGCAGTCTTTGACCTGTGATCGATAAAGCTTATTTGTTCGAGGTTCCTTGTGTGCTCGTCGATCGCGCGTCGCCACACTGGTTGAGGTGTGGGGTAGTCTTCATGCTTGGCACCCCTTCGCGGACCTGAAATTCGAGCCCGGAATCGCTACCACGCGTCGACACACCAGTCCACCGTTTCAGTCGCCGTCTACTAGGCCTGGCCCCTGAGCTCAATCCCTTGCGAGAAACCACCAGCAATCGCTTGCCTTCTTCAGCCACCATGGCCACTGCAGCTCCAGTGCACATGACACTACAGAATCTCATGATTCCAGATTGTTCTCATGGTGAGACTTATGAAGGCGCCCAAGACTGGCTGGACCAGTTCGAACGCTGTGCGAAGTACAACCAGTGGGCCACCCCAGAAAACAAGCTCGCGAATGTGTACTTCTACCTGAAGGACAACGCCCAGACGTGGTACACCAACAGGGAAAGAAGCTTGGCTACGTGGGACGGTTTCCGTAACCAGCTGGTTGACACGTTTACCAGCCTCGACAGAAAGGAAAATGCGCAACGCCTTTTGGAAGTTCGATTTCAAAAACCAAATGAGAGCGTTGCTATGTACGCCGAGGACATGACCCGTCTTTTCGGCAGGGCAGATCCCGAGATGCCGAAAGACAGGAAGATGCGATATTTAATGCGAGGCGTGAAGGAGCAACTGTTTGCTGGGCTTGTGAGAAATCCACCACCCACAGTAGCTGAGTTCACGAAAGAAGCCACAGCTATTGAACGGGCCCTACAGCAACGGTACCGCCTGCAGAACCCGGTCAACTTTCAAACGAGTAGTCCTGATACGGCTGTGGCGAGCCTCTCCGACAACGACAGGCCTCTGCTGGAAGTCATCCGGGAGATTTTGAGGGAGGAGCTACGGCAGCTAGGTTTAATTCCAGCAGCCGAACCGACGCCAGCACTGTCTTTTGTCGTTGATGTTGTCCGGGATGAGGTCCGTCAGGCTCTCTCTTCATCCGGCTATGGAGATGTGCAACGGCATCTTACTTATGCTGATGCAGTCTGACGGCTCGTTGTTGTGCCTTAGGCACAGCGAACTCCAATGACTGGACCACCACCAACCCTGCAAACACAGCCACTCTCAGCGCCGACCACTTTCGCAACCTCACCAATTCCTTCGACAAGACGAATGTCGTATAGCCAACATGCTCCACAACGTCGCCCCACAACGTGGCCCAATAGTGAGTCTCCACTTACCTACCAGCGTCGGGAAACCGATTTGTGGCGTACCGCTGACCGTCGACCGGTATGCTTTCATTGTGGCGAAGCTGGGCACGTCTACAGAGTTTGCCGTTATCGTGACACTCAGTACTCGGATTTCCTCGCTACCCTGATTACACTACGTACGACGATCGACGCATGTATAACGACACCCCTCTGAACACACCGCTGCAGAATCCAGTAATGCCCAGATCACGTTCTCCATCTCCTGTGCGGCCCAGTTCACCTAATCGTCGCAGTTTTGCCGACGTCACCAGGGGCAGGTCCCCTAGCCCATGACGGAGAAACTAGACGCAGCGACCTCGGGAGGTAGGGTTGCCAATAATCGAAATTCCGAACAGTCCCCTTTGCAGACGAATGACAGCTCGAAGCCATCGATACCGAAGAAGACGACAGCAACGACTAATTCGACGAATGAGAAAACTGCCGACGTAACCGACGTTATCAGCGCTGACCTCGTCGTTCACATAGACGGCCACCAAGTGACGGCTCTTGTGGACACTGGCTCCCACTTTTTAATTATAAGCCTACAGCTAGCCGAAAATCTAAGGAAGGTGAAAACGCCATGGCATGGACCCAGTATAAGAACTGCAGGAGGTCAGTTGATGACACCGGTTGGAAAGTGCACGGCCCAAATTTTCATCGCTGGTTCCGCCTTTGTCGCCACCCTCGTCATTCCTCATGGGTGCTGTAAACAGCTCATATTCGGAATGGATTTCTTGCGCGAATGCGGGGCTGTGATTGACCTCCGCGACAGAAGCGTAACGTTCGCCATAAGCTCGTACACTGCTACTGATGAGGAACACCAGCCACCTCGTTTCCGTATTGCCGATGACGACGTCATACTGCCGCCACGAAGTTGCTCCCTCG